CACCGAAGTCAAACATTACTGGATGCGGACAGTCAGCGAGTGGGTGATCACTCTGATCAGCCTGCGTATGGGCCGAAAGCGCGCAGTATCGGTCCACGTTAAGCTGTTCTACTCGACTTCACACTCAGGTCGTCGGGCCACCAAAGCACCATCAGATGCCACCGGGGTGCAGAGGATCAACATTGCGATGACGTCTTCGGATCATCCTCAGAGATGTTACCCAAACCGTAGCCCATTGTACAACTCTACTTCAACGTACCTACCAACCTAAGTCTAAGTTTATCATCTCACATCAGTGCATTTAACATCTTCCATGCACCTATAAATTCTTCATTAAGAGAGTGCGCATTATTGACCAGTACGTTTTCGTTCCCATATTTTGTTTCCCATTGTTTTCTCAAAGCAGGAAGTGTTTGCAAAGTTTAAACAGTTGGTATATATTTGCTACTATAAACACCTTGTTCTCTAGATAACAAATCTCCTTGTTCTCTAGACAACATTGTTCTCTCAAAACAATAAGAGTTTGCACAGTTTAATTAACTGGTATATCGCTGTCACCATAAAGACCTTTAACTAGAAAGTGAAAAAAAGGGCATCTAGGCTCTTTTAATTTAAGTTGTATGTTTACTTTCAGTATGTTATACATGAAAGACAATACAACATTAACGATGCATTTATTTAATACATTTTCATACTGTTTTTTCCCCTTGATTTATAGTTTGTGATTGTGGAGCGAATGGTTTTTGTGAGGTGGTACTGAAAACTACGAAAAGGTGCACATGCTATGAATCTTTTCATGAAATTAGTGGAAAATGTGTGGGTAAGTAGTTTTAATTATGATTGTTCATAATCTAAATTAATATAGAGCTTAATATATATTAAATATTGTAGTGTTTACAATAGGGGGCACGATGCTTAAATATTTTTAGTAATTATGAAAAAATCAAAACGAATAAAACTATTTTATCCTGTTTGTAATAATCACAATTTTTGATAACTCACATTACAAGGATAAAAATTTTCGTAATAATCACAATGTGGTACTATTTTATCCTATTCGTAATCATCACTATTTTTGATAACTCTGGCTGAAAGGATAAAACATTTCGTAATCATCATAATATTTTATAAATTCCACTTCAAGGATAAAAAATTTCGTAATCATCACTATATTTAATAATTCTCAGAGCAAGGATAAAAAATTTCATATCTCGAAATTTAGTTAAAAAGTATAATAGTTTACAATAATAGTTTACAATAATAGTTATAAAACGAATAATAGTTTACAATAATAGTTATAAAAAATAATAGTACAGTATATTTTTTTAATTAAACTTTCTTTTAATAAAATTGCCATATAAAAAAGAAGACAGCTTTTAAGTTGGGTGCAAATAGCATTTAACTAATTTACAGCATTTTCCTTGTTTTAAAAACGGATATCAAAATGGTTGATGTTAAAAACCGTATTTGCATGGTGGATTTATATATTGTACTTTTTGCACAAGCTTTCGATAATTACTTAAGAAATTGAACACTTTTTCATCTTCTTTGTGGTTTGAGCTTTAAGTTTAAAATCAACATATATTTATATATATATATATATATATATAGTGACTTTAGGGCTAATTTAACATCCTGTCAAAAACTTGGGAATATCCCCCGTCCCAGAAGGAGACCGACTCGCAAGGTATAACTCAGAATCATCCTCAGACAAACCTCTGCATATATATATATATATATACAGGGGTCTGCTTTGAAGAAATTTGGGTCCGTTCACAAAACATCTTTTCATAGAAACGGACCCTTGACAAAATATTTTAACTTAAAAACGGACCCTTCACAATATGATTTTTCTTTTAATTGGACCCTTCACAAATTTGTTTATCTTCATTATTGTTTTGTTAATCGAAGAAAATATTTCTACTTTTAAAAACATGATGATGTGCACATTCTTATTAATATTAACTCATAATTTTTTTTTNCTCTAATTTAGAAGCAGCAATTGCTGTTTATTTTTGAAAATTTAATTTCTTTATTCTAATTTTACAGTGCCGAGCATAATCGTGTATCTATTTACAATTTAAAAACTCATTAAAAAAGTTTTTTGCAATAGCCGGATCCTATTTGCACAAATTCATTAAAGCAGACTCTAGTTGAAAGAATGTGAGTAATTTTTTCACAATTTTTCGAAAACCGGACCTTTCACAAAATGTCTGGACAGACCCCTGATATAAAAATATATATATATAATTTTTTTGATTAAAAAAATGCAAGATTAAAATCCATTTGGAACCTTGGCGATTGTAGTTAGAGCGACAGATCACTTTCGAGAAACATCCCTAAGTTTGGCTACTTTTTGGATGCAGGTACGAACAGGAAAATCTCCTTGTGAGGTGTGTAGTTTCAAATGCCAATGCTAGTATGTAATTATAGCACCAAATAGTTATTTTTAAAATTGATAGAAAAGATTTCCGTATCGATACCTTTGCTAACATAATAGCCAAATTTTAACGACTTCTGACCAGTATCCTGCAAGAAACTAACTTTCTCTGATCTCTAACTTTCATTTAATAATAATTAAATAATTGAAATTATTTTTTCTCATATTTCGATTTTTTGTGAAATTAATTAGGTAAGTAGTTCTTTTAACATCTTATAATTGATGTTCATAAAATTACTTCATGATCTCTTAACATATTGCATATGCTTGCTGAAATATAAGTAATGAAAGCTGTTGTGTGGTAAAACAAAAGTTCAAATGTTAGTTTTCATTTACGGTTTCAATTTTCATAAAAAATTATTAAGATTTTTGATAACTTAAATTAAACAGCATGAGAATTGTTTCCTTTTGAAAAATCCATTTGTTTTTATCTTCTTTCTTCCTATTTTTTTATTTTCAGTTATTTGATACTACTTTTCTCCGAGTATTTGGTTTAGATTAGTTTTTAAAAATGAACAGTGATTCTGATCGTACAATTGATTCAGATGAACTACAGGAAATCATTGAGCAATCTAAGAAGAGAAAGAACTCGTCATTTGTTAAACCAAACAATAAAAAAGTGCATACTATCTCAGATTCTGATTCTGATAATGAAGTGACAGTTGAACAAAATAAAAGGAAATTTACAGCTATCGAATCAGGGGATAATCGTCCTAAATGCCAGTATGGTAAAAAATGTTATCGGAAAAATCCTGATCACATCAAGAATTTTAGTCATGAAGGTTTGTATTTTAGTATACATTTTATTGTAATGTGCTTTTCTGTTGCAGAATTGTTATAGCTTAAAATGTAATAATTTTTAATTTTTGTTCTTAATTTAAAAGCTTGTTGTAATGTCACTCGTGTGTAAATTGGTACTTTGTTCATCAATATATTATACAATTTTATATATATGCATTGGAACCCCGGTTTTGGGATATCAGTTTTGTATGTTATCTCGCTTCCTATGTAATTTTTCTGCTGGTCCATAAAGATTTTCTATACCGATAATGTTAATTTTTTCTGGATATTACGTTACCCTTTTTAAGAAAATCCTGTCTTATATGTTTTACTTAACAGGTCAAAATAATTTTTTCTCTACAAAGCTCACACAAACTTTTTTTTTTTTTGAAGAGAGATTAGTTCAAAACTGCTCTTTTGTTCTTTTTATTTTATCTTATTGTACTTTTGTCTGTGAAAGAGACCACTTGAGTCACAATCCCATGAGTGGTGGGATGGGCAAAGCGCAGGAAAAGTATTTCAGTAAAGTATTGGAGCTTAAATTGTAAAATTTGCAAGTGAAATCTCTTTTAGCGAAATTCAACATTACTTTAAACTACTGATTTGGTAATATTTTTTTTTTCTTCTTGATTCCAATAACCTGCAAGATTCTTCTAAACAAAAATAAATGTTCTAGAAGCTCTAAATTGGGTTTCTGCAGTGTTGAACAATAGACTAAAATATATTACAAATTGTTTTAATGAAACAGGCCTCTCAGGATACAACAAGAGCATTGGCCCTTTGGAATAAATATGCCTGGCTAAAGAATTTCGATGAAAAGTATCTATTCATTTCAACACCCATCCCTTTTCTTTTTAATTCCTTCAATATCTGATTTAATGTCTGCTTCAGATAATAGTGATGAAAACGATGGAGATTAATAAAACCCCATAACTAATCAAGAGTGTTTCAAAGCATTAAAACTCTGAAAAAATATCTATTTGCAAATGTAAACCGAAAATTAAATTTGCGGACAATAGCAAGTGCTGAGAGATATATTGTTAAAATTGTATTTGCAAACAAAGAGAAAGTAAAAATTGCAAATTTTTTCTAATAGTTCATCACTTAAATGTCAATTTTGAAAAAATATACTTACATATTTTTTTATCCTATATTTAAGTTTTCCCACTTCGTGCGTTTTTTAAATGATAATGATAAGTGCAGAAAAATCGAGGTTTTACTGTATATTTATATATATGTAACATAAAAAGCTTCAAGTAATCTTTTTGAAGTATGCCTAAATTATTATTTCTTTATCAAAATATTTTTAAAAATTTATTATTCAAAACTGAATGCTCTTTTCCACACTTTAATATTCGCATTCTGTCTTTTAATCTATTTTTAGTTGAAGTATGCATTAATTAACATTTTTCCTTTTATGAACTGTGAGAAACAATCTTTCCCCGCTACCTATTTAATAGACCAATTATAATTACTCAAATTTACCCTATTCCCTAAGATATCACAGATTTATTTACATATTACAGATTTATTTTGAAAGATTTTTTGTTACTTTTAAATTGAGGAGCACTCCCTGTGGCAGAATTTTATTGAGCTACCTGGGACATAACTCCCTAGCACTAATATCTTTCTGCAAGTTACTTTAAGTAATAACAAATATATATATATATATGATACTAGATACTAATTTAAAATAATAAAAGCACTGTGTTTACAAAAAAACTATATAATTTTTTTAAATTGAACATGTAATAATTTTTTATTCTAATATTATGGGTGATATTCTCTCATTTTGTTGGATGGGGGGAACGAATAAATTATTTCCTTCTACGCATTTTATGAATAATCATCACAGTAAAAAAAATAATTAAACGTCATGAAACAAGTGTGTAGTAGTAATTGCCAATCGATGACGAAATCACGCGAATTGGACTCCTCAAATGCTTGTTTCATTTCGAGATTAGGTTGTTGCAATAAATATATTGTATAAAAAATATTGGATTTAAAAACTATGGAGAAATCAATAGCAATAAATGTGAAAAATTCGATAGAATTATTGATTTAAAAATAAATGCTCAAATGCACGATTCGAATCTTCCATATTGTTTGAAATGTATCGGGATATTTAAAATCCATATGAAAATCAATAACTTCCGAGACATTGATTTATGATACTATCGAGGTAAATTGAGTGTGTCAGGAAGTGATTATTTAAATGCATGATCCAAATATTATGTGTAAATTTTTGTAGAAAAGAGAAATACATTTTTTAAAATTTCCAAACAAAAAATCTTTTTGCAATAACTCTGTAACGTTTTGCGACAATGTCGTTGTGTTGCTGTGACTCTGCCACGTGGGGAGCACTTAGATTTTGTGTCACTTGGATGATTTTTCTCTCTTTAATAATAATCAATTAAATGTTGTGTCCTCTTTCCCTGCCTAAAACCTGCTTTTATCCTTCCTCTCGGCAACAACTTTGCAATTCTCCAGTTAGTATAAACCCTCTGCTTGTATTAGTATGATAATGGATTCATTTGAAAAAACTTTGATTAGGTACAAATCAGGTCACCATAATTTACAGTTCTGTTAATTTCTTTCTTTAAAATGAATTGATTTTATTTTAGTATTATCATCTGCAAGTTAAACCTTTCTCTCTGATTTCATTTTTGAGCTTAGTATAAGCATCTATTTTTCTTCTTCTTTTGAGCAAAGCTAAAGTATAATTGTATAAAATTCTAATTAAGCTTAAACAACATAAGGTTTTTGTGTATATCTTTATTATATTTGCAAATTGTACTACACTTGTTAGATTATGCTTAATTTTTTTCAATAATAATCTCTGCGTGACCAATTTGAAGTCACAGATAAGACTGCAAGATAAGACTTCGAAGATAAGACTGCACTTGCAGTGCTCTGTAAATTCTGTCACTGGTTGTGTGTATACATATTTCTGATTGATATTCTTCTTGTTTATTTGCAAGATTTTTATTCTAAGGGTATATTTTTTAAACTTTTTTATGACATTTTTTGTAATTTATAAGGGATTATTTAGGTAATTAAAATCTGGGTATTAGTGAAAATGAAGAATTGTTTGGATTTTTCGAAGTAGCTTTAAGAATTTTCTTTACCTAAGAAGAAAATGAGCTTTTGTGTTGTTTCTATCTTTAAAATTAAACAATAATGGAGCCAAACAACTTTTTTTACATGAATTATGCTTAAATTATTTTTTTTTCATTCAATTTATTTCATTTTTTTTTTTTTTAGATGCAGACCCTAAGCTAGCTAAAAAGAAATCTACTGCAGTAGAAGTTAAAGCAGCTGCTTCAGGTGGTTTACATTACCAGTTTTATCTTACTAAATTTTATGGACTAGTAGAGCCCAACAATTTTGTTTCATGAGTTATTCTTTAATTACTTGTTTTCATTCATTTTATTTACTTATTTATTATTTTAAATGCAGATCCTAAATCAGTTAAAAAGAGATTTAGTGCAGAAGTTAAGACAGCTGCTCCAGGTGGTTTAGATTACAATTTTTATCTTACTAAAGTTCATGGAATACCTGAAAGATATAACAACAAATTGACTTTTGATATTAAAGGTAAATCTATTTTTCAGTATTTGTAATTCTAATTTAATGAATATTTCAACAAAAAAAAAGAAAAAAAAGAGCAATTTTATAAGCTTTTTTTTCTGAAATAATTTCTTTGTGTTTATTTTTTGAAAATTTAATTCAAAGTTTTACGCAAAAAATGAACTCATAATAGCTTTCTATTCATATAATCATAGATTGAGTAACTTTTTATTTTGGTTTTATTATTTTTAAAACAAATGTGTGATGTTTTAGTATGTTTCTATTGTAGAAAATCTTTTAAAATAATGAGGAAAATAATTGAAAATAAGTTCTTTACAAAAGTAGCTCATAAAAATTTACAAGTTCTTTGGATTTTTAAAGTAATATTGCAATTGCAAATATTGGTTATTGCCTTAGATTATTTAAAATAGTAATACAATTGCTGACTTGATGTAAATTTCACAAAACGTGAAAATTTGAAGTCCTGACATAATTGGTATATGGAATTGTATTTTCATGCAATGAATAATTTTACCTTTCTGCTATACTTTAAATGATTTTGAATTAAATATTTAATTCATGAGAGTGCTAAAAAGTTATATTTCTTCATTTATGATAATTAGGCTTTATATGAATCAGAATTGTTTTTCAACAAAATGGTTTGAGATATTTATAAAAAGCAATATAAGCTTAATAATTACCAAGTAATATTACAATGCTTTAAAATATTCAGTTATCTTTTTAATTTGTTGTTTCTTAATTTAAAGTAGATAAATAAACTGCAAAATACAAAAAATGAAATTCTGTATTTTACTAATGCAATTTAGTTTATTAGTCAACAATTATTTCTTTAAATGAATTTATTGTTTAACTTATTTTATTACTAAAGAAACAGCATGCTGTGTACCTTTTTTTAAAATAAAGTTAAATGTTTTTAATATTTAGATATATTATCTTTAAAAGATGGAGGTCCATTGATTTCTTCAGCTCAAGTAAGTATAATACTTTATTGATAATTAAATTATACATACATAAAATGTAATCGAGCGGAAGCTGGTAATTAAGGCAGGTGTAGGCAAGGGAAAATCACAACACTCTTTATTTAATTACATTAATATTGTGAGCATTATATACTAAGGATGTTTCTTCATTGAGGTGACAATTTTTTGCTTCCGTAATGGAAAACCTTTTTATGATAATTATTTTTAAAAAAATGTAAGCATTTGCTGTTTTGAATATATTTTTAACAGAATAAGAATTAATAATTGTAGAAAATCAAATGTTTAAAATGATGAATTAGGAAAGAAAATTAAACAAAGAATTAATCAAAAAGTTGTTAGGTTTTTATATTGCACACACACAGATATATATCTATATAATGTGTGTGCTTATTGTTTTTTAATAATTTTGATATTTATTATTTAATAATTTTGCAAATCATTCTTTAAGATTTAATGTTGTTAGATTCTTTAAGTGCCGTAAGGAAATGCACACTGTTTTTTTACGTTTGTTATCTCCATTTCCAGTTTAACTATATGTTTGATGTGCGTTGGCTTATGAAACAGTATCCTGAAGAATACAGGTATGAATTGGTAGTAGTTTTCTTTATAAATCTGAAAAATGTTTTGAAATTAAAAATATAGATTTAAAATAATTTTAGTTATTAGAGGCTACTGTGTGTTTAAATGAGCTCCCAGTTTTAAATTACTTTTTAATTTAATGCTTGAGAGCATAATTTAATTTATAAGTATTTTTCAAAATCTTACTCCTTTTAAAACCAATATATTAACTTTATACGACAACTTGCATTTAATGATATTGTCAGTATTTTTACAGTGTATGTTTCAAAAGGTTGTAACAGTTGAGAGTGTTAAGTTCTTCACCTTTTAAGACATTAAAATTAAGTTCTTCACATTTTAAGACATTGAAATTAAGTTCTTCACATTTTTTACTTACTGAGTGTACATTAATTTATGGGGTGTTTTACTTTTTAACTGTACAAGGTGGTAATCTGAAAGTGGAGTAGGCATGGAATTTTTTAAATTAATTAACAATAAACTCTGGAAATTCATTGATTATTCATTAATTGATAGATTATAAACAATTAATAAAATAATTTTATTTATTTCAATGTAATTTTGTTAAATGCCATAAAAACTTAAGGTACAAAATTATGAACAAGTTTAAATTAAAGAAATTAACAATTTTACTTCAAAGAATTGTACTGTAAATTGGTAACATATTTCTGTAAATTCATTGTAAATTTTTAACATTTCTGTAAAATTGCTGTAAATGCATTTACGATAAATTCTAAACATATCAAATATATATATAGCAATATATATAATTAACAATTTTACGATTAACATTACCCTAATTTAAGTCACTAAAATTTGTAAAAATATTTATAATTTTACTCTGGAATTCTCAGGAAGTTCGTTTTTGTCAACCTGTTATTGTATAACTAACAATATTTCTTTACTTCCATATTTTTTTCCTACTGATATTTTCTGTAGCATGTCCATATTTCATTTCCTTACATTTCTAGATGATAACTTTGCTTATGACTGTTTGCTCATATCTGCTATTTGATGACTGTTTGCTTATATCTGTTTGGAAGGCTTTTCTCTTAGTTATTTTTTTATTTAAAAAATTATTTAAGTGAATTTAGTAAAGTTATGGGTAGAATTTCTATTTTGAAATTACTCTTCTAAAATTTTTTTTTATTCATTTTTTTATACAATATCTCAAAATTTAATTTATATTTAACACATAAATTGAATATTTTTACTTGTGTTCCCAGTCTATTTTACCTATACATTTATGTTTTATTTCTTGATTTTGCAGCTGTTTCATATGTTTTATTTTCTATTTATAGGAAATGTCCACTAACAATTGTACATGGAGAGCAAAGAACGTCTAAAAGTTCATTAGAGAAATCAGGTGCTGATTTTTCAAATGTTAAGTTTTGCCAAGTTAGTATTTATTGCCGATTTGATATATTTCTTTCTATTTCCTTCAGTTTTTTTCCCTATCATATAAAAAGTAATTTACTTTAATTAAATTTAAATTAAAGTTTAAAATTGAAATTAAACTTTTAAATCTTGTACTTATTTCATTCATTTATCATTTGAATGATAGATTTTAATATATGCATTTTGTATGTTTCTAAAAGCTTCAACATCTTTGTGTAAAATTGTTTGCAGTCATTAGTGTTCTAAAGGATAATGCAGGAGTTTGATAATAAAATGTGTATCGAATTTTAAAATAAATTTACTTTTTATTAAAGCTTTATTAGAATAAACCCAAAAATGAACCAAATTTATGAACCAATGCTGAATTTCTTTTAAAAACTGTCTTAGTTATTCTTACTTTTCTTCTTTTTTATTATCAAATCTTGTTATTGCTGTCTTATTTTTCATATTAACTTAATAATATTTGTTTATTTTTCATTGTAGTTATTATTATTTGATGTTAAAATTTTAATGTTCGGAAAAAATATTAATTTTCATTACACTTAATCATCACATAATTTTTATTCTGGTTCAAACTGCTTGCTGATATTTTTCTTTCCATTGATATCCACAGGCAAAACTAAATATACCTTTTGGAACACATCACACGTAGGTAAAAGTTTTAAAACTTTATTTTTATTATATTAAATATGTATTTTATGACTCTAAATATTTTATTTTTTGTTGATACAATGTTTGCACTTTTTAGGAAAATGATGTTTCTTTTATATAAAAATGGATTCAGAATTGTTATTCATACATCCAATATTGTAGACAGTGATTGGTACCAAAGAACTCAAGGGTAATATGAACACCTATAAATTCTTATCAATAATATTTTACTATGTAAATATTAACTGATGAAGTAAAATTTTAAGAAGTAAAATTAAGTTTCATTAATAGCATAAAATGCTGAAGCATAGATGCACAATTGTGTTAAAAACTATTTTAATTTGTGATCTTATAAAATCTGTATGAGAGTCTTAGGTATTAAAGATAGAATTCTAATAGATATGATTTTTGTATACAAATAAAAGTGTAAGAACATCTTTACTTAAAAAGAATACTTTGAAAATAAAAATTTATTAGTTTATTTAAAAGCAATTACTTTTTTTCCGTTTTTAAATAATTTTGCAGATGTATGCATTTATTTTAATACTTTAAATGTTTTGCATGAGTATGCATTTATTTCTGACAATTTTTTATAAAAAAACTAGTTACTTAGACAAATTAAAATGTTAAGATGTTGCAAATATCTAGTGACCTTAATTATCTAAATTAATTAGCTATGTATTGAACTTTCACTAACATTAGTATTGTATTTCCAATGATCTTGTATTAGTAAGATTGCAATTGCCAAATTTAGCATGTACACATGAAACAAGTTAATATAGAATTTTCATAAATGCTTACACATTAATACAAAACATTTATTTCTGCCCTTAAATTTTATGAATATTATGGTTTTAAGTTAAAATGGTTTTAAAGTTAAAAAAGAGGTGGTGTGTATCAGTACCAAATTCTTTTGTCTTTATCATAATCTGTCAAATATTGAATATCTGTTCTGTGGAGGATATTCCCTTTCAAAATCTATTTTGATGATCTCTGACTGTTTTTTTTCTCCATAAGTGCAGAAAATCTGTGGAATAGAATGTTTGAGAATACTTTAGAACTTGTACAGTGCAAGCTGATTCCTTTATAGTTAAAGCAGTCAAGTATATCTCCTTTCTTATATATTACACAGGTTTTGCTCATTTTCCATTTCTCAGGTATATTATTTTATGTTCCCATATTTCTTGTATTAAATCAAATACTTTAGTAGTTTCCTCTCCACCATATTTTATTAACTCAAACGGAATAGTGTCAGTGCTTTTGTCTTTAAGTTTAATCAATTTGTGCTATGACTTCTTCCAGTAATGGTGGTCTGAGACTCTTAGTCTTCATATATTCTAGTAAAAGCATGAAAAAACGTTTAGCTTTTTATTTTTAAATAAAGACCACATTTTTAAAAATGAAGAGAAATGCATAAGTCTGACTTTTAAAATTATTAAACAAACACTTGTTTAATCAAACATAATTTCATATTTTTCATGTTATTTTATATTACAATCTCTTTTTTTTCCCTTTTTTTACATAAATTTTTTGGCTAAATGTATTTATTTTCCCAAAGAATATGGATGAGTCCAGTGCTGCCTGAGTGTATGAATTCTGAAAGTGGTGAATCTCCTACAAGCTTTAAAGCGGATCTCTTAGAATACATCAATGCCTATGAAGCTCCAGAATTGAATGAATGGTGCCAAATAATAAAGAAACATAATTTTTCCAAAGTAAAGTTAGTATACACAGTATCAAAGTTCTTATATATCCTCTAAGCTCTTTTTTTCCACATTAAATTATATTAACCTTTATTAAATCAATCTTTAAATCATCTGAACTTTTCTGAATATATAGTTTTGTTTTATGTCAAATGTGTTTTTTTTTTTATTACTTGAGAGAATTCTTGTTTAACTCAATGCAGTTACTTTGTTAAATTTTTTTCTGCACTAAAATTATGTAAGTGTTCTCTGATGTAAAAAATTAAGTTTCTTTATTTTTTTTTCAAAAAAAGACAAAAAAAAAGAAAAGAAAGAAATATTTTTTATAATTTTTGAGGAAGGAGACTTTAAAGTACACAATCACATTATATTTCTCTCAGTTTCACAGACAACTAAAACTATTTCTTAAATTTTCTAAAATCTACAGAAAGATTAATCTCTTTCTTGATTTCACATTTCATGAGTTGAAATTGATGAGGATTCATGAAAATTTTCTTTATTTGTAATTGTCTCAAAAATGCTATTTTAAATTTTGCATTTTTCATATTCACAGACTCATAACATTTATCCTTGTTCAGTTTGCTTTAAATAATTATAACAGTGTTTTTTAGGATATCAAATTTGTGACAAAAATGCATTAAGAAATTATTACTTGAAGAATTATTGACTATATGCCTACTGTTGTTACTGAATGCCTGTGATTTCTTAAAACTTATGACTTAAAACTATTAGTCATCTTCTTGCTTTTGTTTCTCAATTTGTCAAATTGATGCATTTAATAGTTATATAAATTATAACTTGATGTGGTTGTCTAATACTTTTTAATTCATTATAAATATAGTAAATTTTGGTATGGTTTTCAATTTTAATTATATTGTTGATTTAGCTGCAAAATATTGATTTTTATTTTTTATTTTACTGCAACAATATTTCATTACACAATTTTTATTCAAATTCTGTTCTGAATTTTTCACATGTTTTTTTTAATTCATTCATTATTTATTTACTCATTAAAGTTCTTTAATGCATCCAAATAGCTTGGTATTTTATTTAATTAAAAGGGTATTCTTTTATAAAACTTGCTCTTGTTTTTTTTTCGATTAAATTATATTCAAATATTTTTATTAATTAAGTGCTTAATTTTTTTTCGCAATATGCCTTTTATATCTTATGAATTTGTTACAAGAAATCAAACTTGGTTAAGATTTGATAGTTAGTAGATTTTCATTCCCATAAACATAAAATTTTTAAATTCTAAGTTATATTATTTTTTTTACTATGTTTATATTTGTAATTAAAATAAAAGCAACTTATTTTTTGTGTTGATTATTATTTGTTTTCATTCATTTATATTCCATCTTTACTACTGTTTGTTTCTTAATTGCTGCTTTATAGTGATTAATATTTGAAAATTAAATTATTAAAGTAATTTACATTAAATTACAATGCTTAAATGTTGTATATAATAGTTTCGTTAAATATTATGTTCTTTTAGTGTGTTTCTAATTGGATCTGTTCCTGGCCGTCATATTGGGTCAAAGAAAACATCTTATGGTCACCTAAAATTGCGAAAAGTAAGGGATTCATTTAAAATTGATGTTCCATGTAATAAAGTGTAGGATAAATTTGTATCCATGCTTCCTGAAAAATATGGGGTTCAGTCCATGCTTGCTAACCTCCATAATTGCTTCACAATCATTTTTGTTTCATAACAATAAACAGATTCATAAATCAAAATTAAAAATAAATTGCATAAAAAATACCAAATGTTTTATTCATGGATTTTGTTCCCAATTTCTTAGGATAAGATTTTAAAATATTTTATTTTATTTATTTATTTTATTTTTTTGCACGATTTTTAGTATTTTTCTCAAGCTTGTTTTTTAAATTCTTAATTATTTTTCTATCAGTGAAAAAACATTACATGTTTTTCACCAAAAATATTGCTTAACAATAGTGCAAAAAGTTTATTCCTCATAATTCTTTGCAATTTTAATGAATTATTTTATTATAATTTTTTTATATTGCTTTGTTAATTGTACAGAGTTTCATATAAAATATATAATAAAGCTAAATATAAACATATAACTTTTCAGAGAATAAATTAACTATTTGCACTAGCATTATTATTTACCATTTATTATTCAATAAGTTTGTCATAAGAAACAAAAATGGCTAAAATAACAAAATAAGTTAAATATAAACTGTTTGATTGTTTAAAATCGTTGAAGATAGCTAAAACAAATTTTAAGCAATTGTATTGTGACAATGATTTTTAACATTAACTTAATACAGTATCTCTATTATCAAAGTGGTATCTCTATTATCACAGTGAAACACAATAAATATGCAGTTAAATAGGAAATAAATAATTTACAGGTATTGACCATTAACCATTATAAGTTTTATTAATTTTGTGTTAATGACAGCCAAAAGTTTCCTAGTCTCATTTTCTGATAGTTAATTAAGAATCTTGTTGCATGATGTTTTTGTCCAATAATAATACACTGACAACAATGAGAAACAGTTTTGGTTCATACCATACTTTCAAATTTTTCACAGTTTATTAGCATGTACTTTAAAATAATATTTTTAACCCAAAAAATATAATATTTAATTTTTAATAATAATGTAATTTTTATTAAAAAATGAACGAAAAATATAATTTTTATTAAAAAATAAGCAAAATTTCAGAATAGAAAATAAAAAAATAATTTTATAATATGGCTATTTATTAAATTGCCTGGTCAAAAAAAATTTTCTCCCATTTTTCTTTTAACTATAAAGTATTTTTTGAAGCAAATAAGGTCAATCATATCTTATAAAAACTTATTTAATGGTATTATCATTTATCTTTCTTGTCATCGATGTTATTTTAATAAATATTTCTCTAATAAATAATTTCGTTATTTCCACTTTCTAGTGAATAAGCATTTCTTTTAATTTAACTTGAAAATATTTTTAAAAATTAAGTTCCTTAACATTTTTGAAAATTATTTATATTTAGAGCTTTTAAATATTATAATAAATTTATTGAACACATATTTTTTGTTTTATATCAGGAAACTTCAAATACAATATTTGATGGAAGAACTAGTGATTTTAGTTGTAAGAGAAATATTTATTCATAAATTTTTAATCATAAATTTTAAATGCCTATTAATATCTATATATGCATGTATACATGTAGAAATTTTTTAATTATTATCAAAAATATGTTAAAGTACACTGTGAACATTCAAACTTTTCAAATTTTTACCTTATAAATTCGAGTTTTTCTAAAGAGTTGTATGCCTGTTATTCAATTATTTTTAGAGACTACAAAAGTTGATGATAATTCTATAGTTTTGTTGTACAATTTTTTTTCAATAATATTTTGTATCCTAATGAATTGTTGGTTATAAATATTTTTTTTACAGGTTCTTAATTTGAATGGTAATCTCAGGGAAGTTGTGCAACCTGATTGGCCACTTATTGGTCAGTTTTCAAGCATTGGTTCATTGGGCGCCTCACCAGACCAATGGTTAACTGGGGAATTCTCTACTTCTTTATCAACAACAAAAGGTTCATCTTTAATAAGTCAGCCTGCCCCCCTAAAATTGGTTAGTTAAACATGATATTTTTTTTTAATAAGGAAAAATTCATATTTTTTTAAAAATAGTAATCTCAAGTTATGAATTAATAAAAACGCATTTAGAAGTTTCTCTTCAATGCATTTTTTCCTAGTGGTCTGGACTGCTTGAAATGTATTATAGATAAATATAGATATTGTCAAATGTGAAGATTATTAACTTGATAAGAGCAACATTATATTACAATTGTTTTTCTTAGGAAAAAAACTATTTAGGACAGATAATAGAATGTATATTTGGCTTCTCAATTTCATTTGTGTGTTTCCCAACTGAAATACTACTTTATTTGTTTATTATTTATGCCCGACTCTTTAAAACTAACAGTATGATTTGTCTATGTAATATATCGTTATCACTTAAGTAGAAATAAAAATTAAGCACTTGATATTATTTAGTATTAAAATAAGGGATTATAATAGATAGCTTCAGTATAAAACTGATAATGACAATCTTTTTTTTCCTTCTTTTTTTCATTTTTTTTCTTCTTTTTATAAGTGAAAAAAGCATATTTGTGCTATTACAAACATCTAGAAAATATTGTTCTTATCTAACATTGTCTTAAACCAAATATTATCAATATATTCAATAATGTATTTATATTTATTATCAAAATAATTATTTTCTATAAAAATAAAGCTTAATTAATTACGTAAAGTAAAGCTTAATTAAAAAAATTATTTTATATCAAATTTTAATTAAAAAACTAAATTAAATGTTGTTTTAAAAATATACTATATTTGCAGCTCAAAATATCGTATAGAAATATTTTTGTAATAAGCAAGACATACTAAAACACTTTTTGTATAATAAGTAATTTTATAGTAATTGTTTGTAAGTTATTCAAAATTTGAAAACTGACTCATTTCTTAAATAGTAAATCTGGAATTTGTTTATATTCTAATATTAGTTATTATTTTAATATTAGGAGAAAAAACTTCGATTTAACAATTATATTGTTTCAAACATCACCATCTTTAACAATTGCATCAAATGTACGAAGTTTTTTTTTAAATAAAAAAAAAGTACTGTAATTAAGCACCAATTTAATTAGCAATCAAATTAGTCAAACATCAATTTAACACACGTTAAACTCAGTTTATTAAATTTAAACTAAGTTAAGATGGAATTGTTATTGAAAATATTTTAGTTTAACTCTAAAGTTTATATTAATTTCAAGGTAAATCTACCAATTTTAACTGCTCAAATTTAAGAATGTCCTCAAAGAAACAATCATTGCAAAAGCACCTTTTTTGTATTGTTTAAATAAATTTTAGTTAAATTGGTATTAACTTCATAAATTTCAATTTGTAAATATTTATTCTTATTAAGCTAATATTTGTTATTATTATTAAAATTCATTATTTTAATGCGTTAATATTAATAAATTTTAATTTTTGATTTTTCTTTTTTTACTTTAATGATAACTATTTATAAATGTTAAATTGATGTTAAGACTTATTGTTTTAGGTTTATCCAACTGAAAATAATGTGCGTAAAAGTTTAGAAGGTTACCCAGCTGGTGCCTCTTTGCCCTATAGTTATAAAGTAGCTACGAAGCAACCTTATTTGAAAGATTTTCTTCAGTAAGTTGAAGTAGTATATGTATACAAAGCTATTTGAATCTTGATAAATTCTTTTCGATTATAGTTTATATTATTTCATTCAGACTATATATTACTATGTAAGATCTGAGAAAGAAATCATGAAACATTTGTGACATCCTATATTTGCAGAAAATTAAAAAAATTTATATTACAGAGTTTTTAGCTATTATCTCTTTTTGCTGGTAGTATAATGAAATTTTTAGTGTAATAAAATGTAATTCTCATTCTGAAAATTGTATTTAGGCTTATTTGAAAATGTTTCAAAATCTTTGTCTGTCTATATAAGAATTAAGTAACTTACTATGAGTATGTATTATTAATGTTTGACTTAAAAGCTCTTATAAATGATGCTAGTTATTTAATACTTAATATTTAAAACTGCATATTTTAGAAATTGGAAAGATTAAATCAAAGTAAATAAAATAAAAAAACTATAGAGTTATATACTTTTAGTATTAATGTTGGTATAACTCAATAAGAAACTTTAAAAAATTATTTAAAAATGAAAATAACTAATATTAAAACTAGCAATTGATCTATTTTCATACCTTTATGGAACATTAAAGATGCACTATCAAATATGTTTTATAAAATTATTAAATTGAGTATTAACTACATACAATCGAATTTCTATAATTCAAAGATTTGTATTAATATTTTTAAGTATGCAATCAAAATGAATTAAAGAAATTATGGATAATTTGTAATTTGACTGTTTTAATTTCTAATTTTTGAAAAAAAAGATGAATTAAAAATAGTTTTAATTGTAGATATTTAAGAAAAGTTGTCAAGCAATTTGATGCATTTTTTAAGTTTTTCACTACTTTTTAAAAATTATTTGTGTGACTTTTTAGACTTCAGAAAAGAGTGTAGAAATAAAATTGTGCTGAAATAAAAAAAAATATTGGAGACAGGCATCATTATGTGTGTCATATAAAACTTCTCAATACAACAAATTTCATTTGTACAAAAGAAGGCAGAAAAAAGTTTGAGTTTTTTTCTAAGAGTTAATTAACCCCAAAACTTCATAAGGCAATCAGAAATATTCCATTTTTTATTAAACTATTATTTTTGTACTACATGCAATAACTAATAGTTTAATAATTTATTACTCCCTACCATATTATGTTTCATTATTTTTGACAATGAAACTTTCTTTACAATTATTTACCTAATGATAAAATAATCTTTTCTTGTTAGCTAAAAAATGTACCTTTTGTTATCTGAAACTTTGGATCATTAAAATTTTTTAGTTTCACATTATCTGAGTTCCACCATAGCTGAGAATTTTTTTTCTTCTTAAGAAATTTAGGTGTTTTCCTCCTTTTGACAACAAGGAAGTTGGATGTTTTAAAGAAGTAAAAGCCTAAGTTCTTATAAAATACTGATTTTTAAAAAACTAAAAGTCAACCATGAAGTATTTTATTCCATTGCTTCATTAATATTCTCTAAATGTCAAATTATTTCTATGCATAAATTTTATGAATTTTTAAGTTTTTGCTCATTCTGAGAAATTATGTTACACTTTTTGTTTAAAAGTATCTGGAAAAGTGAAATGCTGGGGCGTTCAGAAGCATCTCCTCATATAAAAACTTACCTACGAGTTTCTCCTAGTAATGCGAAAATAGCATGGTTTCTTGTCACTAGGTATGTTTATATTTCAGTATTTTGTTGCTTAATATATTTATATTTATTCAAATTCTATTTCCTAATATTTTTGAAATTCGACAATGCAAATTTATTTATATTGTTAAAAATTAAGGTTTAAATTTTCATAGCCATCTTACTTTTTTAATTGAAAAAACATTTTACCATTTAAGAAAAGTACTTTTAATTTGAGTTTTTCTTGATTGCTTGATGTAATGATAAATAAATGTAGCCTTTATAAAATAATATTTTTTTAAAAAGTTTATATCATAGTTTTTTTTTTAAATTAACTTTAAAAACGAACTACTTCTAACTTTATTTTTGGAAAATTTCATTGTTTAAATTCGCAAATTTTTGCAAAAATTATTACAGTTTTTCCATTGAATAAGATAGAGAAAAAATTGTTTGTTAGCAAAATCAAAATCTTCAATCGAGCTTTTTATTCGTTAATGTTTTGATAATGTAGTATATGATTCCATGTCTCATTAGAGAATACTTTCATTATTGGCAGCTAGGTGTTTACTTTTATCATTCAACTTTCAAGACAATTTAATCTATTTATGTAAAATGATAAATATAAAAATTCTATCTATCATTAACTTGCTACATTTTTTCTCCTCGAAATAATCTATATGTTTCCGTAAAAATGTTTGTTTTACTAATGTTCAGGTTTTGAACTTTTTTTAGTGCAAATTTATCCAAAGCTGCATGGGGTGCACTTGAAAAGAAAGGCTCTCAGTTTATGATTAGATCGTATGAATTAGGTGTTCTTTTCTTGCCAAAATATTTTGTAAGTAAAATTGTCTTTATTTTTTTATTTTAATGTAGATATATATAATATATATTTTACAGATTTACTTTAACAAATATGTTTGTTTTTTAAAAATGTTCAATAGTTATAGTTAGTGATAATTCTTTATTTTTTTTTAGGGAAAAGAAGTGTTCTCTTCTCCAATGGGCAATAATTTTAGTAATATTTTTCCAGTTCCTTATGATATACCATTACAGCCATACTCTAAAGATGGTAAAATAATTTTAAATATTCTGTGAATTCTGTTTTTGGAAATTAGCTAAATATTAGAAAAATGTTATGCAGTAAATTTTAATTTTTTAGAATTTATTTTTTTCAACATAGTGCAAATTTTTATTTATTTCTCTTTTTTTACTATTTTGTACATATTAATACAAAGTAAAATAAAAAAGGTGCATTTTAAAAAATAGGACTAAATTATTTTTTCTGTTAATGTTTATAATAACTATAACCATATTTGTTTATACAATTTTGAAATGAACTTAATTATTTAATATTCAAGAGATTAAAAATTATAAGTAACTTAATTATTTTTTTATAAGTTAGTGATCCATGCTTTACAACTTTAGAAGACTAATAAATGGGCGTATGGGTATGCAGCAAGATTTTAGATTTTATTTAAGAAAGGAACTTACTACAATATTTTAAGAAGATCTATTTGTTGGAACATAAATTTTTCTCTCACGTTTCTGTAAACTACAACTTTTATCAACTCATTTTTTTTTAAGAAATAATCTAACAAAAAATTAGTAGGCTTTAAGAATGATATTGGTTGGTAGAATGTTTCTAGAATTGAAAGGTACTGCAATTTTTATTCTGTTACTAGAGTGCAAACTGGTTTGTAGTTATAGTGAAATATTTATCAAAGTGAAGTACGAGTATTGAAATGTTTAAAAAAAAAACTTTGACAGTTTAATTTGGCATTTTCGGTATTTTAAATATGGGCTGCATAATAACTGTTGTACAAAAAGAATATTTTGTACAAAATTCGTTTATGATAATATGCTTTTTCTCTCACTTATAATTACTATTTTTCCACTTATTGCTCGATATTTGAAGTTAATATCAACAGCTTTCTTAAAATAAACTGTTGGTATAAATTACTTGACAAAGTAAATTCCTTTGAGGATCATTGCTTTAAACACAAATCTTCTGGGGCATTGTTTTATGTAACAAAAATTAATATTCCTCTTGAGATATTATAAGATGAGCTTTGCTTATATTATAAGTAACTTTTTGAAATTAAATTAAACAATAACAAATTTATTATACATCTTAAGTAGAGATGTACCGGATGCTAATTTCGAATTTGTTGGCTTTTAATGACTTGCTCTCTTTTTTGGAGATTTTCCTCTTGGCTTTAGTTAGTCGCAATTATAATTCAAGTTTTTATTTCTTTTAAAATTTGCAAAGATTTTATTTTTTTTAAGAGGCAAGAATCAAGTTTATTTTTACTTAAGAAAATGAAAAACAGAAGAGTGGGTCATTGAAAGCTACTGGATTGAAAAATCGTGTGTGCTGGATACCCAGCCAGATTTTCACTATCTGATTATTACCCAGACTCTGCAAAAAAACAATTTTACTACCTGATACAAGGTGTACCATTTTTAGTTCAAGACCGGTACCAGGTACTCGCCCAATTTTACAGGATGCCCACTCCAGGTAAAAATTATTTATGTTTGGCAGAACTATATTCAGATTTATAGTAACCTTAAAATTATTTCTAAAAAAAATTGAATTATTAGAAATCCATGTATTTCATCAGCTTCCTAACTATCAAGCTGAAATTATTAGTTAAGGTAAAACATATTTTACTCTTGGTGCAGAATTTTAATTCAAGGAAACCCTGGCAAATTTAACTCCTTCAGAACAGAGAAATATGTTTGCTAACGCAAGGTGTCTGCTTAAGAGAAGGACATTCTAATTAAGAAACCTAATATTGAAAACTATTTTTACTAAATTAATATGATCGTTAAGTACAAAATTAGAAATAGTGAATTACGATGATATTTAATTCACGATAATAAAAGCATAATTAATAAAATTCGAAGATAGCAATTTATAAGTATAATATTTCTGTATTATTCTCAAAATTTACTTTCACCAAATAAATAAATGCAATTATATGTTTTTTATTTTTTTGGTTTGAAAGTGCAGCAAATTTATAAAAGTACAATGCTGATAACCAAACCACAAATATTTTCTAAATAATTCATTATTCCAATACTAATATTAATTAATGCATCATTAAAGATTGATTTCCTTGTAAATGAAAGCACTTGTAAAAACCGAGCCAATTGTTTTAATAAAAAGTGATTTGTAAGTTTTTTGTCGGTAATTTTTATTTTAGAACAAAAAGACCTTTTTTTATTTTTAAATAATTAAACAAAAAAAACAAAAAACAATTATAATATGGAAATATTTCATTTTCACTATAAGTTGATTTACCTCTGTATTGGAAACAAGCATGTACATCCCCAACTTTCAACTCAATTTTTACCAGAAAGCATGTTGCTTATTCCTTAGATGAATAAATTCAATTTTCAACCAGCCTGGTTAAAGTTCTTTTACTGTCAGACTAGCCATGGGAGGTTTCTTAGCAAATTTGATACTTGTTTGTTGCTTGATCTAAGAGTTACTTTATTTTTGAGAATTTAAAATTACTCTGATATGGAAATTGAATTGTAGCATAATAAAGACAGCAAAACCGCCATATGAATCTTCTACTCAACATTGAATATAAGATAAAATTTCCCACCGAGTGTCAAAAAGTTTGAGATTGTACTGAGATATTATTTTGCATAAATTATGTTTATAGTTATCGGTTGATTAAAAATTAAAGCCTAATAGTTAAAATTTTTTTAATTTAATATGGCATCATTTTATAGCAATATTTTTAAAATATCCTACGTTTAACAGAATATGTATTAATTAATGCTGTTAAAAATTTAGGTAAATTGTATAAAAAAATAATTATTAAGTTCACTATTTGCAAATGTATTCATTTTATTGCAAGGTTGTACGTTAATCATTCTGTGTCCGAACAGTCATCTCAAATTTCTTTTAAAAACATTTTATTTTAAATTTCATTAGAAAAAATTCAAAAACGCAAGCATGTTTTTACTTATTTAAGTGTACAATAAATTTCTTTAAACTGCTTCTTGTGAAATTTTTGTTTCTTATTGAATTATACAATATTAATTGTTTTATATGAATGTAATAATAGGAGGAGTAATATGTCCAAATTTTACCAGATACATAAAACCAACTGGGTATGCATAAATTTAGTTTAAAAAAATATTCTGAGATGTATATCATTAATCTGAAATTTTGTTCAAGTCACTTTTATATGATTTTTGTTTCTTAATTCTATCTGTTTTTTTTTCTTTTTAAATTTATATTTTTTGTAATAATAATTTTATTACTTAATTTAGATCAACCATGGATTTGGGATATTCCTCATATAAAAGCTCCTGATCGTTTTGGTAATATGTGGTGCCCACCCTAACAATTATTTATTGTTTAAAAACATTTATCAACTGTAAAGCAGGGCTTATAATTGCTCCATTTTATTTTTTATATATTTATTGAAACAATTATTCAAATAAAGATTTTATACTATGGTGTAGTTTTAATTTTTCATAGTTTATTTTCATTTTTATTAATTATTTAATTCAAACTCTTTGTTTTAAATTAGTATGAATTATTTTAAAATTAACTCTTCACCTCACTTTGCAACAAGAATCAGACTCTTCACTCAATTAACTCTTCAGTTTGTAACAGGGACTAGAGAAAAGACAGCAATTAATAAGTATCTTTTCTTTTTACCGCTTTTAACAAAAATATAACGGCAACCACTAAATTGGAGTAAAAAGTTGGGACAGATATAAAATTGTTTTTGTGAAGAGTCAGGATTTCCCGACTCTGAGATACAGTGATTTTAAAGAAAGTAAGAAAAAAAGTTTTAGTATTTACTGTAAAGTTTGCATGTCATGCTTTTTTTTCTCTCTCTCCTTTTAATATAGTCATGAACAACTGGAACCAGGAAAAGAACCCAGGAGTCTTTTTCTAAAAGCTGGGTATCTCCCCTCAGTTGAGCTCTATGAATCTGAGGATGCCCGAGTTGAGTTGCAAGAGGCAGTTTCGATTCCAATTTTGATTCATGGGTGCAAATTCATTTATAGGGGAGAGTCGGGTAGCCACGCCCACTTAAGGAGTATTTCTGTATAATATTGAGTAATAATCTATATTTTTGTATGTTTCCATTGTCCCTCTTGCATGACTGAAGAGCGGACGTTTCGGATGAGAGTCACACCCTAGATTTAAATATCCATAAGGTTACTCAAAAATAATTCTTTCATTTGGAAACTTATTCATATTATCTACGTGTTCTGAAAAATAATCTTTTCCTGCGATTAGCCTTCATAATTAGGTCAATGTGGTGAACTAAACCAAGGCAAAATGGTAGCAAATTGTGCTGAGTTCTACTTTACAAGCTGCTTGTATTTACATACTTTGAGAAATATAGTTAACTCGTCAATGCATGTTGCGAGACATAAAATTGAATTAAATTCAATGTCTAAAGAATCTAAAGTTCAGTTTTTTAAGCATATAAATTAAGCTAAGTTTATATACACACAAAAGTTTATATACATGGGGTAAGTTTATGCATGGTATTTATTCTCAGTAATTTCAAATATATTTTTTTTCTTTTTAAATTCATTTGTATTGAATTATTGCAATTAAGAGGCACTTTTTTCTACCTTCATTTTTGAAAAAAAAAACCTTTTTTATCAATTTTTTTCCCTTCAAATTGCTAGAAATTAGATAATTTCTTACACATTTTTGCTAGCCTCTTGTTTTATAAATATTCTAGATTTAAGTATGATCAGATAAAAGTTAAATCCAGCACAATCACGATATTAAAACTTGAACCCTGATTGAATGGTAGGAAAACATTTAGGTTAGGAAGTGATAATTCTTAATGCAAACAGTAGTGTATATAAGGATATGGGATATCGCTAAATATTTTTTAAATTTGCATTAAGAATAACGAAAAAAGACATGAAAAGGCATAACTTTAAAGCAGAGCAATCGGTAAACTTGCAGATTAGGGTATACATATTTTAGAGTTAAGCATTGTTAAATTAATATTTCAAGTATTGTTAAATTAATATTTAGCATTTTTAAATTAATATATAATAATTAAAATGGCAGTGTAAGAAATTTCGATACATTTGGCACTCAAAAATGTAATTGTAAAAAAAGAAGAAAAAAAAAGTAGCATTTATCTAGTTTATGAATTATGGTTCTCAAGCTTATTTGAAAAAGGAAAAACTTAAATTGTAGCAAATTCAATAAAATAACACATAACATAAATTTTGCTTCGAAATATAAATTCGCCCCTAGAATTTTAAAGATTAAGAAATATTGAAAAAATCAATAAAATATAACTTTTTCATAAACGTTTTACCCATTGACAAAATGGGTGATGTTTTGGGTTTGATGGCGTGCGCTTAGATGTTTTATTTTTTTCCATAGAAGTCAGGAATTATTAGTGAAAAATAAACGTTTAAAACGAAAGTTATAGTCGATAAAATTTACTTTTTTAAACATTTCTAAAAGTAAGTTCTAATGATATAAGATTATGAACTAAGTGTTTAGATCCGAGAGTTTTCATTCTGTAATGTTGAAAGTAATTTGATTCATAAAATTATTAGATCCATATCCTTACATTTAGGAGAACTTTTTTTTCAAAGATTAAAATGATAACTCTGAGATTACTAACTCTCGATATTAAATACAATTCCCATCTGGCAGATGTTTCTTAGATATTAACTTTATGTGTTGGATATCAGCGATAAGTCTACTACATCTGCTCAATTTTTCTGAGGTATACCAATAAATGCAATATCTATGGGACGTTACGCAGTCTCGTCCCATGGATATCTAACAGATATTACATGGATATCCGGTTATCAGCTTTGTCTAGGTTTACCTAGCATTTTTGTCTTGTAGTTATTATAAGGAAGTTGGACAACTACTGATTACGTGGTTTATCTGAATATGTTTCAGTAGGATCCATTTTAAAAGGATCCAATCACGAATAGTTTAGGAGTGGACTGATAGTTAAGAAGGGTACCCAATAGAACACTGGAGTCAATCATCACTGGTAGCCATCACTGTGCGATTAGGTCACCACTTTGAAAAGCTTGCAAAGGGCCCGAGGGACTGCGGTATCTGTTCTCGTTAAACTGTTCTATCGTGAAGTGCTCGACTTCGTGAGTTGCTTGTAAGGCTAACGAAGCGGAGAAGCCATCCCCTCTGCAGAGGACCAAACTTGTGATGGTATATCTTCAGATCATCCTCAGGGATGTTTCCCAGATTGTCCCAATAGTCCATTGTGCAGTTCTAGTGCAACATGAACAAGTAACCAATTCATAATAAGATTGTGTTGGCACTTAGCTACTTTTAATTCAAAATTACCAATAGCCCATCTTGGTAGCTCTAGTGTAAAGAAAGAGTAAATATAATTATATTATATATACTTTCTAATGAATTAATTCATTAGAAAGTATTCGGAAGTAGTTGTAAGAAACAAAGAGGACGAGGACAGAAAAAAACGGTTTCGTGGGCCGAGCTTAATGAAAATGAAGACTGTTAATCAATAATGAAAAATTTGGACCATCACTATGGATGCGAAAAAATCGTGTATGTGAATTCAGAAATGCGAAAGAGAATGTGGGGATATTAGTTAAGACTATGCCAACCTTCATCTATCAAAAGGTACCTCAAGATAGAATTGAGTTAACATGTCTTATATACTAGTGATTTGGTATTTTAATATTTGTAGTGGTAGTTACGCCACATTACTCCCCTTCCAGAATTTTATCTGTGATAGCATTCGATAATTAACAGCATGAATCAACTATAGTTGATTCAAGCTGTTAATATATTTAGCTAATTTTGCTCATTATATTTTTTCCTCATTTTTTTATGTTTATAGCATTTTGCTCATTTTTTTGTTTTTTATTAACTGGGGGACTTTATTTACTTCACCGGATTTTTTTTTGAGCAGTATATTTTTTTAAGCAAATCAACTTTTTAATGTGGATCATCCATCAATATTGGCAAGTTCCTATCACGTCCGGGTCACCAATGTGGGGATATTAGCTAAGACTATGTCAATCTTCATCTATCAAAAGGTACCTCAAGATAGAATCGAGATAACAAGTGTTATATACTAGTGATTTGGTATTTTAATATTTGTAGTGGTAGTTATGCCACAAGAATATGATTGGTGGATTTACTCACCTCTCTGAATTCGCTAATTATCTGCAGCCAGTGGGAATTAGCCATAGAAATGGGCTATGGATGGTGTTTTCTACACTAGGGAACGCTGCAAGCTCGGGACTGCCTAAATTTCCGGGTTACTTTTTCAGTTGTATTTTAAAGCCATTTGGCATCATTGTGTTTTGAGATTCTTGCAAACAATGTATTTGATTACTTATTACTTATGTTTACAATGCTAACAATACTTGTGTTTACAATACTAAAAGTGTTAACACTAACGTAAGATGGTGCACAGCTTGCAACACGAACAAACAGTAATAAACAAATGGAAAGAGGCCAAATCAAGACTGCCAAAAAAGCGAGTTATTCAAAATCTAGCAACCATGTCACCTTTTTTAATAATAAATAACAAAATAACTAAAACACATTTTCACTCCAAACTCCCCAGAATTACATAATAACATTAATATCTTATGAAAGACGGCAGATTTGAGCTCAGAAATTATCTAATTTATTTCTTTTATTGAAAACAAAATTATCCGTTTGAAAACATCGCCTATCAGAATAACATGTAGTAAGCAGCTGCAAACTTTTTAACCGGAACTAGAGTAGGTCCCGAGCTCGAGATTGTTATTGTTTACATTTCTATTGAAAACACCATCCATAGGTAGCGTAAAGCAAAACTCTCTACTTATGACAACACTTCACATGCTTTTGCCACACCATTAGCCAGTGGAGAAGGAAGTACGTCAGTTTCTCTAGAAAACTTAAAACTATATTGAACAGTTCTAAAAGAAAGCGTTGGGGAATTTTTAAGAAATATTTGTAACAATTAAATGCGAAAAATATTAAGAAAAAGGAAAATATCATATTACATTAATATACAATTGAGAAGAGGAGAAGGAAAGGGGGAGGGTCAAGACATGGAACCGGTCTTCTCCCCAGATGGCGCATTCAAGCGTTGTGATCGCAAATGGTCTTGATTCCTATCGCCTTTCATGTAGGATGATAGAAGTTGAGGTCGAAGCATTATTTCACTAACTAGTTCTAAGAGAAGAGAGAATCGATTAAATTCTTATTTGGGCTCGTCATACCCGAATTATAATAAGAAGCAAGAAGTTACTTTTGTATATTCATATTTTCGTTTAAGCAATTAATTGTTCTACAACAATGACCCGTCCATTTCTCTTTGGGGGATCTTCATCCTCTCAGTCTCAAAACAAATACTTGGTAGAATTCCGGGCTGGAAAAATGAGTATGAAGAATATGATTGTTAGTGCAGACAAAAGAAAAGGGCTTGTTTATGTTTATCAGGCTGATGATTCTCTAATGCATTTCTGTTGGAAAGATCGTACTACTGGAGTTGTTGAAGATGTGAGTTCTTTAAAAGAGTAGTTTTTTATTTCTAATAATTTATTTTACGTGTGATTCAACTTAAAATTTTAACCAACGCAAATAATGATATCCTGTATCAATACCTTGCATTTGATGTGGTATTTCCTTCAAAAATATAACAGTTTGAAGTTATTTATAAATGTTCTGATATCATAATTCCCAATATTTTGGCTTGTACTCCTTAATATCAAACTCTTCTTGAAATCTTGCGTAGTAGCCCGACTGCATCAATATGACGTTCCGGTACTTCTTAGAGAGGCGAAACGTGGTTCCGGAACTTTAATGTACATATTGCTAATTTTCACTTTATCATCTTTTCTTTAAGAAAAGATTCTTAAGGAAATTTCTTATATTATTATGCTAAGTTAAACGCAATAGTGCTAGGTTAAGACAGTTATATTATTGCCAAATTGGCAATCAATATAACCCTACATTTTTATTGTTAAGCTGGGATTGTGATACTTTATTCCTTGTAGCTATTGCTAAGAATTCTAGTCAATAAAGACGAAAACAATAAATAAATGTGGAATATTTTTAATTGCTTAAAACAGTTTGATGTATAAGTTTTATTAATAAATGATTCATAAATATGTAAGTTATTATAGATTGTTAGATAGAATAGTTAAAAATAAATACGCAAATAAAAATATTCAGACTTGTTTCTGTGTAAATGGGGAGAAAAACTATAAAGGTTATAATAAAATAAAAACATCAATAAATTAAGTAAAAAAAATTCTGATGAATTGATAATTATAGATAAAATATTATCTTTGATAATTTCAGTTCCCACTCTTCCTCTTTTTAGTACTTGGTCCCATTGGTGCTTCACCAAATATTTTGTAAAATGATTTTGAGATATGTTGAAGTTAAAGTTAACTTTCAAATATGTCAATTAGTTTGTATTGTTGTAGAATCTGTTTTCAAAAACAGTAGCTTGCGAATTGAATTCTTTCAATACCACATGACTAATTTTTAAAGTTAAACTAACTATAATCTTCTTATATCTAAATATTTCATTTGCGCAACTTTTAACTCTAGAAATAGTTTGCAAACAGGGGCTTCGGGATGGGAGGTTGCTGTGACCTCTCAAACATTTGTATTATTTCGCAAATTTTGCTATTTAAATATTTTTTAGAAATTATTTAATGAATTACTGTGTTTTAGGATCTTATTATTTTTCCTGATGATGTTGTCTTCAAAAAAGTGCCAGAGTGCACCACAGGAAGAGTCTATGTGCTAAAATTTAAATCATCCTCTAGAAGATGCTTTTATTGGTTGCAGGTATGAAAAATAAGCATTTTTTACATTATCAAAGTTATATTACATTATCAGATTTGTTCTTCATTATTTAATAATTAGGTACATAAAAGGACAAATTAGCTATCAGCACTAACCTGACATAAGGAGCTTGACATTAAACAAATTTTCTGGAAGCCATCAAGTTTTCAATATTTATTTTTTTAGTAACCACTGAACACCAACAAAAAGTAGCGTTAAAAAAAATGCAATGTTGAAAAATAATCACATCTTGTTGTGAATTCATTTTTAAGATGAAACACTTTTGTGTGGCTCACTATTTTAATGTTGCTAAACTCTCATAGACTGTTCATAAGAAGTCATAGTCCTCAAACTCTTCCTTGATGTAGGATCACAATTTTTTTTTCCATACTAAATGATTGAAATAATAATTATTATGAAAAATTCAAATGTAGGGTGAAAGTTAAATGCTGTAAGAATCTTCAGCATCTGTTGACTTGCTGGAGAGTTTCTGCTACTCTATGTATAAGTACCCTTTAAAATAATACTTGATAGATGCATTCAAAATAATATGTTGGCTCGGGGCTGCCATTTTTTATTTTTTAAAAAAAAAAAAAACATACATCAAGATGACTGCAAAAATCATGTCTTAACTCTAAAATAAACCTCCCAAAAATAATGAAAGTTCACTAGAGTGATTGCGATTGACATTTTATAAGAGTGAATATAATTTTCAAATGCAAAAAGTGTGATTAATAAATTTATTGTATTCTATGAAAATCAGGTATGTATAATATACACGAATGTCACATTAAATGAATGGTAACATTAAATCTAAAAATGGTTTGAATTTTCTCTTTGAAGCTTTATCCAACTTAAATGACTTAATTTTGTTTATTAAATTGGAATGAACCTTTAGTAGAGATGTTCTAATGTACATTGACTTAATATTCAAATAAAATAGCAAACTGAACTTTATATATCAGTCGTTATAATGGAAGGGTCATACTAAAGTGCATATACTTTATAATAGAATTAAACTTACTTTGAATTTTATTTTAGTGTGTTTCTTTTCTTTTAATAATTATTCCTTTATCTCTTTCAGGAACCTAAAACTGATCGTGATAATGAGTTTTGCTGTAAAGTAAACCAATATTTGAACAATCCTCCTGCTGGTGGATCCTCTCGCAGTGGAACTGGAGGATCTCTTGGTGGATCATCAACTCCTTCTCAGAGCGGTGGAGGTTTACAATCAGAGTTAAGCTCTTTAGGTGATGGGGATTTACAAAGTTTATTGAACAATATGAGTCAACAGCAACTAATACAACTTCTCGGTGAGATAATTAGAGTTGTTTTTATTTCAAACAAATGTTTTTTGTCTTCCTGTCATGTTGACTTCTATGAAAGTAATTTGTTGTCTCTTCTTTTAGAATTAGGCATTCTATTTGCTGCCTCATAGGAGTTAATAAATAACATAACCTATATTGTTTATTTAAAACATTAAGTTATATGATTTCTGTTTTCAGTATGTTAACTTACACCTTTTTAATTTAAATCTACTCAGCTTGTTGATACTTTCCTAATTATATTAACCTAGATCCTTTCTCAGAAAATTGATCATGTGTAATTTATTGTTATCCAATGTAAAATTCTGGTTAAAGACATTTCTAACCAAAAATTTGGTTAATAGGCTTCAAGGGGCATGTTCACATCTAGTCAGAGTAAATGTTATTATTTTTTCACAACACACAAGATCCACTGATGCAAACCCTTTCATTATATTGATGTTTTTTTTCTTCTATATCTATTCATAATGTTGTAGCCTAAAATTTTATTAAATAATTTAACATATATTGTATATTCTGCAATGAAGACACTTTTTTTAATCCATGTGCTCACCAGTTATTGGAAGAAAAAAAACTGTCATCTAGATATTAAGTTTCAAAATTCCTTATTAGATTAACTATAACCATCATTTGGCTAAAGTATTGGTGATATATTGACAGTCATCATAATTGTTTAAACTCAGATGACAGAATTTTTTTTATCTTTATATGCCATTTCAAAATTATTTGAATTACAGAATGTTTTTGTCGTTAAATTGTGTTGAGAGAATCAGGGAATTTTAATGGCTAACATGGATATATTTTTTTAGGAGGAGTTGGAGGAATAAATCAAATGCCTAGTTTGAGCAGCCTTTTGAGTGGAAGTCGACCATCTAGTGGTCAGTCGGCTACTGGTAGCTCAAGTGGTTTATCCAGTTCAGAGTCTTCACATAATGTTACTGAGACTGTTACTGCCCCCAGCACTAGAGCCACTACTCAGAGTGCTGTGACAACAACTCCGTCACCAGCTACTACAACTTCAACTACTACAGCCTCTGCTTCTTCGATTCAGTTGAGTGATCTTCAAAACATATTATCTGGCATTAATTGTGAGTAGCTTTTTCTTAGTTTTATGTATATTTAAAGGGCTGGGATAGTCTGGTTGGTCGGACATTGGGCCCATGTCCAAGAGTTTAATCCCCGCCGGCCGAAGACTCCCCGTGTAGTAAATGGTGACTGTTGCATGTTAAATCAGTCCTCCATGTTCCCATAACAAATTATACTTCTGGGTGTACTGAATTGTATATTGATCCTTCTCTGGTTCAGGTCAAAATTGTGATCTGTGGATGAATGAAATTTTCCTCCTTCTTATAAACGGGCTGTGACGAGTGTGTGGCTGAAGTTGTATTCTTGGCCATAGGTGGCACCACTAAAAAACACGAAACGCACCCTCTGCTTAAAATTTGTGTGGTTTTACCAAGCAAGATTTCTGATAGTGGCATTAGAAAACACAACATAAGTATTTAAAACTACCTGAATCTTATTCTTTTTTTTTTTAAAAAAAAAATCCTGTCTCCTATTTTTATTTTATTAAAACTGAATTTTTTAAAATTATGGTATAATTGTAATATGCATTAGGTTTCCATTTGTATAATATAAAATTAATTACATATTATGAGTGAACTAATTTATTAAAAAATATATGTGAAAAGGTAATGACTCTTAGAATAAAACAATTTGCTTAGTTAGATTAACTCAGTTTTAATCATCATCCTTGTTTGTAATGATTAAAATAGCTTTTATATTCATTATTCGTGTTATTAATTATTAGGTACTTTTCCATTTTGCAATTAAAGTTGCCAATGCAAAATCACCAGGCGCTTATAAATTCAACAGATTTTTTATTTATTTTATTAGATGATGGCTATTTTTTTTTTTTTTTAATGAGATAAATAAAATAGTCAAATTTACTTGCTTTGACAAAATGGAAAAGTATACCAATAATTAGTATTGTAGATTTTTCGTAATTATATAGTTTTTAGTAACCTTTTCGCCAGTTGGTATTTATGTAATTATTCTGTACTTATCATTTTTTGTAACTTAATTATTATTATAATTAAGTTAGTTCATAAATGTGAATCGAATAGTCGTTTGGAAAAGCAGATCAATATCAAAAATAAAATAAATAAATGATTAAAATGTGATTTAGTCACAGAACATATTTGAAAAAAAAATGTGATAAAAAGTATAGTGAAGAAAATTTGGTCAACAGGAGTGAATTTAGTATTATATTGCATATTATGTCGCATGGTGAACAGTTGTCGTAAAAATTAATAAATTGGTGAAATGTGTTCCAATTTCTTATTAACAGAATATCATCAAAAACAAAATATGTTAAAATTTCAAATATAGTTGTTTTTCTTACTAAATTTCAATCTAAAATTGTCATAGTTTTGTGTTAATTTATTAAATGGTCCTTGTAAATAAGTAATGCAATATCATTTATTTGATTGTACCAACTCATCATATGCTCCAAATTCATTAGCTATCTGTTTTTCACAAAATTGCAATAAATATTCCCTTTAACTTCATTGGGCATTTTCAAACCTGAGCTAGGGGAACAACCACAAATTATTATAACTGTTCCTGTTCTTTTGATTAAAGATTCAACATTTTAAATAAAGGAAAGCACAAATTATCTTCCAACTTTCTTTCTAAACAAAGAACTTATTATTTTAATAAATAATATGTGTAAATGAGTGATCTTTATTGTTAAAAAATAATATATATTTATGTGCAAGTGCTTTCATTAAATTAAAAGTCCATGTGTAATATTGTTTTGGTAAAAGGCATTTGAAATGCATCTGGTTAAAATGCATTTCACCATTCAGATTCTCTTATCCTTCTTTCTCTAACACCTATCTAGTCTATTGTACAAATATTTACATCTCTGGCAAGTGGAAATTATAAGTTTCTGAAAATGATTAGTCATATATTTTTATAAGTTTCTTAATCTGTACTGTTTTGGTTTCTTTTTCTCATTTCACTGCTTTAAATTTTTTTAATATTAAAAAAATAGAATTATGATACTATGATAAAACACTTAACTGTGTCATTTCAAAAAGCAAGTAATTGAATTACCATATTAAACTTAGAAATTGAAGCAATTCAGAGTCATATCAATTTTCAATGAACATCCACTGGTTCTAAAGGAAAGAAATAGTAATTTTTGCTTATTTCATATATTAAATTATTTTGTTACTATGTTGGGAAAAAAACTTTATTTCTAAGTATATTCTTAACATTCGTCACAATTATTAACTTGCTGTTATTACTTCTGTTAAAGAATAACTGTTGCTGATGCAAGTTGCATTAAAACAAATTAAAAAAAAGAAAGAAAAAATGCACGGCATCCAATTTCTTTGTGGCAATTCTTTTTGTTACTGATTTAATTGATAGAAAAATTGGTCAGGAAAACCAGAATTGATGTTTGTCTGGTTCATGTAAAATTGTCAACTTGACTAATCCTTATAAGATGCGAATGAATACTTCACAAATCTTTAAAAGTTTTTCTTAGATTATATTAATTTATTTCACTATGGTCTGATTTCTGTAATAAAATGTTTGCTCTTAGTATTCATTTCTTTCACTAACAAACATTGATGGACCTTTAAGCTTTATTATACTCCTATATGTATTACATATATTGACATCATATAGTTATGCAGCAAGTTAAATGTATTTCCAGTTAATTAGTGCTTGTATATAATATTACTCTTTAATTATCTGTGCTGATTTTAAACAATTGGAAATTTTTAACTTTTCTTAAGTATAAGATATATTTTCTCTTAGATTTACTTTCTGGCATTGTCTTTACATTTTTATTATGATATAAATTAATTGATTTGTTTCATTGTTATTTAGTACCTGCCACTGCATCTGAAAGTGCTCCAAAGCCATCAGGTAACTGATTCATTATTTAAATTAAAATATTTGTATTTTAGAAATCTAAATTGTTTGATAGTCATACACCTATTCTGAGCATTTAGGTTCTTTTGAAAGTCACTTAAAATTAATGGTGTGAAGCCAAGTGATTATTACCACTATCTGATCTAAATTGCCATAGTGTATTATGTGTGCATATGTACCTGTATTGTCTTCAGAATCATTAAGACTGAATCTTATGTTGTTAATAGTTCATTATACTGCATTGTTATCAGCCAAACCAAATCAAATATTACATAAATATGACTTAAGCATTTATTATTATTAATATTTTTGAAATTTTTAGCTATATTTATCCTTTTTTACCAAAATTAAGCAAATTGCTATCCCACTATACTTATGCAATTTTTTGAGAACAATTCTAATAAATATTTTTTTTACCATATAAAGAAAATCAAAATAATCTTTTTGTTTTTAACTTGTTTACGTTACTGCAGAGATTTTTATAATTTTGTTTCATTTATGTTAGTTGATCTCTCATCTGCCATTACTGCAGAGGCTTTGCAACCTCTCTTTAATAATCAAGAATTGATGGATAGAGTTAGAAGTTTTTTGCCACCATCATCAGATGTTCCACCTGTGCCAAGTGATCAACTGAGGTCCACTGTGCAATCACCTCAGTTTCAACAAGTATGATTTATTTCTAATTAGCTGTTGTTCATGCAAGACTGTGGATATGATTAAATAAATGAACAATTGTATTCTTTTTCACCTAAAGTTATATTGCTTTACTGTATATGTCAGTGTATATTATGACATTCCTTAATTACAATTCTTTAAAATTAATGTAACAAGGGAATCAAAAATAAAAGAAAAAAAACTTCTTTTAAAAGATTCTTTATTCAATATTTGTCATTCACAATGAATCTTTGAAACATCTCAGCAACATTCTCAAAAGAAAAGTCTGCGAGAGAATACTGCATAGGTAACAAACACTGGTAATAAAATCCATCTCCAAAGATTTTTTCACATAAAATAGTTGTAATTTAATTTTTTGAAGTTAATTACATCTTTCAGGACTTGCTTTAATGTGTAGTTAAAGCATCTTATAATTATCTAATAATAAACATTGATATTGTAAAAAGTATCTAAAATTTATTTATTTATACAATAATAATTTATGTCCAAAGCTTTATTTTGAAATTATATCCGGACATGCCAACTCTCCTGCATTTTACGGGGGATTCTGTATTCTTCTCCCGCTTTTCGGAATTAATCTGAAAATATCCCGAACTTTACCTTAATCGGTGGCCATGCTCAAAATTACCCAATTTTTCCGTAAAAACGGAAGTTTTGATTTTTTTTCCGTGGGAATTCCATTCTCTGTGTAACATTTCATCCCCTCTTATCAAACTATTAGCTGTCCGAAATGCAGCTGCTTCAGCTGTATTTGACTCTTCAACATTTCCCCTCTCCTTTCACACTTTTATTTGACCCGCCCCCTTACTTATAGGACTCATCATTTTGTATTGTGTGCGTAAGTGAATGAATTGACGTTACAGAATGATATCGACTAATGACATCAGGATATGATATCGATTTCAGCTATCAAGAGTCAGATTTTACCATGTTAACTCTCTATAATTGAAATTGTTATCATATCCTGCTGTTATCATATCCAAATGTTAGCAACAAATTGATTGTTCTTTTTTCTCTCCATCCTTCAGCAACAAAATGATGTGAGCTCATTTGTTTACTGAGACAACGTGGATTGCATCGTGATTATCATTGCTTGTTTTCATATATTTAACCAAAAAATATTTTTATGGTGTCTACGTTCAAATAAAAATAAGCATCTAGTTTTAACCAATCATATATCAATGAATTTCCTGCCATTATTGTTACAAGAAAAGGAAGCACATGTGCTTTTTGTTCCAATTGTGCTTGTGATGTTTTAATCGCTCACTGGGGCAAGAAAATTTTTGCAGCATGTAAATGGGCAAACACCAATCGGTGGAAAAAAGTTTCCACTGATCACTGACGATAATTCGTTTTAAGGGCAGAAGCATAGTTAAAACAGCATTTTTGATAGAGCACAATTTGACCATAAATTGCACAGACCATTGTTCTGGAAAATGTTTCCGAACGATAGTATTGCAAAGAAATATGCCGCGGGTAGAACAGAAAAAAAGTCATTATAGGTGAAATAGCTACAGTTGCAAAAGAATGTGTGATAGAAATAATAAAAGAATATCCATTTTCAGTATTGACTGATGGTACCAACATGTCGGATGCAAAGTTGTATTCTCTTGTTACATACTACAATGAGAGAAGTATGACAGTGTAGAGCACTTTGGTGTCTGTGCCAAATTTAGGAGACTCAACTGCTGTAAATATTACCAATTTGATTTTAACTCTTTCATTGCAACAGACAAAATAACTTCATTCAACAGACAAACTAACATTCCAAGACTACTTGCTGTGCTCTATTGTTGTATTAGTGAATATGGTTATTGAATATAATTTATTTTTAGAGTTAAATAAACAAATTTTAAAGGAATGTACGTTTTATTTAAGTTTTATTGCTGCGGAGGAACTAACAGCGCAGAAGGTGGAACAAAAGCACATTATTGCAACGATAAAACTGTAAAGAATATTTCATACTTGATTAAAAGTTATTTATTCCACAATTCGTTCTCTTTTATAATGTAAAATGTCTTGCATTCCTATATTTATATAGTTTTTTTTATTTTAAGTATTTCTATTCGAAGTGTTAAATATGTCACATATCTTACCTTTTTTACCCATCCTGAATTCTTGTAGAGGAAACTCCTGAATGTTAATTCTGCCGGGTTGGCATGTCTGTATATTAGCTAAGATATTTCATTTCAATTTTAGATTTAGTTCTCTTTAAAAAGTTTCATTCGTTTATTTTATTCCCTTCTTCCTTTTTTATTTAAATTTGATATCTTTAGAATATTAATGCTGAAGATTTAATATTACTGTATACTGCAATAAGATATAAGTTTTTGGGTGCTAAAAAATATTTAGAAAATGCTTATATAAAAACTTCAGCTTATTAGTTATGAACTTAACAAACAATTTTATATACTATTTATTCGCAAAAAAGTGAACTTAATTTAATTTGACATAAATTGACAAAAAATTTTGCTCAACAAAGTATTTTGTATTGTAAAAAGGGTAATTAATAGATAGATATTTCAAAAAGTATTTAGTTCATGGTTTATTATTGGTCTGGATTTTTTCTTTTTAAAGTTGCTAACCCTCATAATTCAGATGGTTGCAGAAAAAATAAAGTATCTATGAAACTCTTTTTTTTTTTTTTTTTAAATACAAGTACACACGTATATATGCAATCAACTTGGGCTATATAATTGCTATTTTAAAAAAAAAGCTGGATATAATCCTTTTAAATTTGATTATTGTTTTAGGCTCTTGGAATGTTCAGTGCTGCTTTACAGTCTGGCCAACTAGGTCCCTTAATGCAACAATTTGGTATGACTACTGAAGTTGTTGCTGCGGCTAACTCGGGTGGTATGTATTTGTAGTTATTTCATCTCAGTAAAGTACATGTGATACACACTTGTTATAAATTTATGAGAACATGCCAGATTATATAAAATTATTAATTTTTAAGCCTTTTTCTGTGTTACTCAACGTTTCTTTTTTTTCTGTGGAGCTCTTTATCTTTCACATTGCCTCAAATTTGTCTTCTTCAGTTGAAAAAATAAACAAATCAGTAATCAATCTAGGTTTTCTATCTTGCTACTCATTTTTATTAGTCATTTTCAGTGTTTTCATCATAGAAAAAAAATGGGTGAGAATTTCTCACCCTTTCTCAAACACAGGGTGAGATTTCAAAAAGTTAAGTGAGATTTCTAAAAAAACACAAAAACTCTTGAAAAAAAAATCATTTCTTTAATTATAATAAATTTTTAACGTCTTCTACTTTTTAAAGCATTGAATATTTTTGATGCATCATCATAGAAGATTTTGCCTTTACAAGGTATTTGTCCATCTTGCATAAGTGCATAAAAAATTTGAACGTCTTACATGAAGAAACCTTACCTACGGTGAAAGCGTGGCGTGGTTGCAGAGAAATGTGTTCTGAAAGGGGTTCTGTGGTTGTGTTCTGTTGTTCGAAAAGGTTTTGAACAATACTGGTAAATAGGGAAGCTAGATAATGGGGCAGATGTNCAAGTACACACGTATATATGCAATCAACTTGGGCTATATAATTGCTATTTTAAAAAAAAAGCTGGATATAATCCTTTTAAATTTGATTATTGTTTTAGGCTCTTGGAATGTTCAGTGCTGCTTTACAGTCTGGCCAACTAGGTCCCTTAATGCAACAATTTGGTATGACAACTGAAGTTGTTGCTGCTGCTAACTCGGGTGGTATGTATTAATAGTTATTTCAACACAGTAAAGTACATGGGATACACACTTGTTATAAATTTATAAGAACATGCCAGATTATATAAAATTATTGAATTTTTAAGCCTTTTTCTGTGTTACTCAACGTTTCTATTTTTTCTGTAGAGCTCTTTATCTTTCACGTTGCCTCGGAAAATTTGTCTTCTTCAGTTAAAAAAATAAACAAATCAGTAATCAATCTAGGTTTTCTGTCTTGCTGCTCATTTTTATTGGTAATTTTATTGAAAATCTATTTTTGTAACTAATTTTAGTATGATCTATTTCTTTTTTTTGGGGGGAAGGAAGAATAATTGTAATATTTTTCTAACATCATACCACTATTTTCTATTTTAAATGAATTAGAATAAATTATATGACATTTTTCATTGAAAATATTATAGAAATGATTTCCTATTAGTGTATTGAATCATTATAAATTTAAGTTATGCTCATGAAATAGAAAATTAAATTTATAGTTAGGTTTCTAATTTCTGTTTTTTTATTGCCGTAAAGGTATTACCTTTATTGGTTTGGTTTTTGTGAAGGTACTTATAAACAATAGTAAAATTGCTTTGGGTTAGTTTTTGCAAATTTTATGGTTCTAAGTTGCCTTTTTTCACATTCCTTTTTTTTTTTTTTAATTTTTTATGTTCATTTTATATTTGCATCAGACATAGTTTCAAACACCATTTAACTTAGCTGCTTTGAATGTATAGTATCCTGAAGTTTTTACTTCTGAGATTTTCCCTCTATTTGTATTTTAAACTTTGAGTTCTTTTATCATTTAACTGTAGATCCCAGTGCATAAGTCAGCTTTTCAAACCTATTATTTTATGAAAATTCTGGGTTTGACTTATACAATGGTGATAAAGTTAAGCATTCGTTGATCATAAAATATTGATGTCATAAAAACAATGAGATTGGTATGAATAACTCTGTATAACTTTACCCCTTTTAAAAACAATTTTCTATAAGTTATGTATAGTTAATTTTGCATTTTCTCTACATATAAAGATTTTTTAGAAACAATCATTTAAATTACTTTCACAAAAAAAAGGAAAGGAAGGAAGAAATTGAGGATAAGAAAAGCTTAGATAATTTATTCAAGAGTATTTCAAAAAAATATAATGAAAACTTCTAAAACATAACTTAAAGCAACGAATTTGAAGATTCCAGAACATCATCTTTGTCGGATTTAATAATGTTATCAGTGTTGTCATGCGTATCTCGCTCTGCAATGAATTCTATTTTATTCTTGTTTGTTGCACCCTCTTTTTTTCTGTATCCCAAACATTTGTATCCCAACATACATTTGTATCTTCTACATTTTGTATCCCAAATTACACAGTTGCTCAAAACATAGGTATATTAAAAGAAAGTGTAAAATCTCTCAATTATTCTTTTAGAAATCTTTTAAAACCATGGACTTGTTTGAGAAAAAATAATTATTTTGTTGAGGAAAATATTTTTTCCAATATAACAGACCTATAAAGTAATTGTGTTCTCAGCAGTAATTGAATGTTATGAAAGAAAACAAAATTTAAGTTAAATTCCAAATTTAAATTGAGTTATTAGCTTTTTAGAAATCTGTGAAAATCCATACTTACTTTTTCTGTAAGGTACTTAGCATGAAAAATAAAGGGAACTTACTTTAACGATGTTGACTGTTAAGTCCATCTTCTAATTCAGAAAATGTCTGGCGAACGACATATTTGCATTTTAAAAAAATTTCTTGTTTCAAGAAAGTGACATAAAATACTTGGGACAAACATTTAACTAGTACAACTTGATGAGTTAAATGTCTAAACAGTTAAAAAAAGTTTTTTTACTCCTTTAAGAATACATAGTTTGTTAATATATTTTAATTATTGAATTGCTGGTGTACAAACTTTAAATAAATAAATTTAAGAAAAAGTTTCAGACAGGCAAGAAAAGTTACATAAAAGNACAGTATTTAAACTTGATGTATTATGGTAAAGCTTTCTTAGATATTTTGCATATGTCGGGGGGGGGGATATGGTGTATGTTCGGTATTTCAGTCAAAAAATTTTCAGTCTTGGCCTTTTTTCCAACTTGCACCCATGACTATAAAGTAATTGTGTTTTCAGCAATAATTGAATGTTATGAAAGAAAACAAAATTTAAGTTAACTTCCTAATTTAAATTGAGTTATTAGCTTTTTAGAAATCTGTGAAAATCCATACTTACTCTTTTTGTAAGGTACTTAGCATGAAAAAAATAAAGGGAACTTACTTTAACGATGTTGACTGTTAAGTCCATCTTCTAATTCAGAAAATGTCTGGCGAAGGACATATTTGCATTTAAAAAAATTTCTTGCCCCAAGAAAGTGACATAAATTACTTGGGACAAACATTTAACTAGTACAACTTGATGAATTAAATGTCTAAACAGTTAAAAAAAGTTTTTTTACTCCTTTAAGAATACGTAGTTTGTTAATATATTTTAATTATTGAATTGCTGGTGTAAAAACTTTAAATAAATAAATTTAAGAAAAAGTTTCAGACAGGCAAGAAAAGTTACATAAAGGTAATTTTTTTTTTTTTTAAGAAACTGTAAGTGAATAATTTTTATATATGGAAAAAATTATTTCTTAAAAGCATGAAAAAAATAACACATTTCTATCTCAAGCCTATCTTGTGATAATTTATTTGGACATGTTTTTTGTAGAATTACCTACATATAGTGTTTCAATGTTAGTTATCATTATGTCAAGAGAAAAAAAACTGTTTTGAGTTTCAGAACTCTACATCCCTAAATAAGCATGTATTTTTTTCAATAGTGTTTTAGAGCATCTTGAAGAAAAATAATGAAATTGTCTTGATTAAGTACCCGGTACATATAGTTTAAAATCTGAAATGCTTGTGTTATGTTACCAATGTTTTTATGATAATTAAAATTAACAGTTAACTTGTTTGTTTTTAGTTTTTTTATGTATATTTAATTATATATGAATGTAATATGATTTTTAGCATCTTAAAATTCTTTTCTAGCCGAAAAATAAACAATATTCATTATCTATGTGGTCTGTGAAAACTTGTATGCTGGCAATAAATATATTTTTTCTCATTAGATATGGAAGCTTTTGTTAAAGCTCTTCAAAACTCTAAAAATAGTTCTTCAGGGAGTTCTAGTGACAAGAAGGATCAAGATAAAGATGAAGATATGGCATTAGATTAAAGGAAGAAAAAAGTTATTGCTGAACTATCCTGTATTCTGAAACCTTTTGTTTGACAATAAAGTTTCTGTATTAATTTATTTTATGTCTTATTTTTTGTTTTCTATTAAATTTTTTACGGTGTAAGTCAGGGAACTACAAAAATACTGAATTTTGCGACATTTTTTGCTTTTATGTTACAATTTAAATAAATATTGAACATGAGTTTTGATTCTACAGGCATCATAACAATCTGGATTTATAGATTCTGATTTAAGTTATGGCTGGATTAGGCAAAAATTCAGTATGCTAATTTTTGCCCAGAAGTTCATCTTTTCCATTTTTAGAGAAGATAAAAATCCTTTCATGAATATTTCATGAAATCATTATTCTTTCATTTCATGAATGGAATGAAAGAATAAATGCTGATTCAACTATTTTAGACTATTTAGAAATAGTCAAACAACTGTTTATTCTTTCCTATCTTAAGACAGAAGAGATAGAAATAAACCAGTAGAATAAAGAATATCAATGCTTTGATAATAAATCGTGACAAAAATAATTATAAAACACAAAATGGAATGTTTTTATTTTTATTAAATCATTAATGAGAAGCTTAAAATCGTGTAAATTATATATAAATGTGTTACGAATGTAATTCATAGATGGTATCAATATTAATAGCGAGTGATACAATTTCAATTAACAAGTCGCTAATCGCGTTGAAAATTATAGTAAATCGCGTTTGTGATTTTTAAAGTATTTAAATGTGATAGGTATAATTAATAAATAACTTTAACGCGAATCGTAGTCATATATAAATCTGAAACTTTAAATTTTACCTAATAGCATTAGAAATTAAAGATGGAAGAAAGTAGTTTTAGGGCACTAGCAAACCAAACTATAAAAAATTATCACATCTTAATGGATAATAAAATATCGTATTGTTAATGGATAGCGATATATAGTGAACGAATTTAAATCTTTGTAAAAGAATTATTGTGTAAGGATATAGAATGCATCATTTAACTGAATTGATGCTTGACAGGCTTGGCTTACTCGAAAAAATAGAATGGAAATAACTAGCTAATGTAACAAATCTCACGTTTAATCGGGGATCGAGATCTCCAATCTCTTTAATCAGGATCGAGAACCCACACCACGACACTTGCAAATATTCCATTCGCTTAAAAAGTTCACCAGATATGGTGAAATACGCAAGAAGCAAAACTAACATTAAGGTCTTAATTTTGGACTGCTCTCGGCTATTTTAGGTGGGTGGCAAAAATCCGAATCCGTCGGGGAAAAAAGGTTTGTTTATTCTGAGAAAGTAAGTTTTTGTGTCTGATTTCATAGCTTAAAATATCGTTTGCACTAATTAATTAGCATATTTGAGGTCAGCCCCTCCAATCTCTAAGATTGAGTTCTAGAGCGTGAATATCTTGATCATTAGATCAAAAGTTATTCAGGGTGTCCATATTTTATTTTGCACACCGTACAATAAGGATTATTTCTGAGAATCCCGATTTCATTATTCTCAATTCCTTATTTCCACCAATTCAGTAACTAAAATAAATGAACCTGCCGTCAAACATCCTTTGGTGAGGGGTTGGCTTCCTCTCTTTGAAATTACAGAATATAGGATGAATAAAGATGAAAACACAGATCACTAGCGAACAGAGCTGTAATTTGTTTCGCGAGTTGCCTACACACCATGGAGTCTACTTATCATAGAATCATAGACAATGATTTGTGATGATGTTGATCAAGATGCCCCTCCCCCAGTGTGTTCCACAAAGCCACGCCCAGAAATTTAGAAAGCCGCCACGCCCTTCTGGTCGCTAAACTATAATAATTTTGTGAAGAGGGAAACAAAAACAAGTAGGCGGAAACGTTATTGAGCAGTTGCCCTCTGTTGGCGTAACTTCTAATTTGGCGAAAATAAATAAATAAGCCATAAGAAATATAGTAAATAGTAGTTTGTGTCAGGTTTTACGATGAATAAGATATAATTAAACATTTTATTTTATTTATTATTCAAATGATCAGTTAAAACATTTACAGAGACATTTTAAAAACTAATATTTTATGATGTGAAACATTCGATTGTCGTGTTCATTTTAACTAAACCATTAAACTAAAATTTATGAGAGAAGTGGTATAGAATTAATTTGCAATCCTGGCGGATAACGATAAATTTGTTACTTATCCGGGGGCTTATCAGCCCTCAAAGATGGTATATATGCTGATTTTTAATTTATATTTTAATTTCATAATTACAGTTTTAATTTAAAACAACATAAATTGAGAAGTCTTTTTATTTGGATGTTGATGTTTTGTTATAATTTCGCAGTGGTTCACCATGTAATACTTTCAAATGAATTTTTTATAATCAATTCCAGTTTTCTTTTATATTCTTTAAATGTTAAATTATAAATAACTGTGTTCTGCATGCTGCATTGAATGCAGCATTTTAGTAAAGTGATTGATGCTCTTTTTTAAGTAACTTTTAACTACCATACCAGAGTCAATTTATTGTTTCAAAATTTGCTTGATGAAAGATATCTTTTAAAAATATGAAATCTGATCTTGCAAGTTGCTATGAAACAAACTAGTCTCCATTTCAAAAATTGTTTCCAAGCTCTCATTCACATTTCAAAAAATTTCAATTTAATTTATGTTTAGACTTTTTATTAAAATCTAACCCTTATAAATCTGAATACCATTACTAGCATAATTTATTTCAATAATTTGTAAATTATTTAATTTTATTCTTACATTCATCATAAGATTACTGCTTCAAGTACACACTCTTCAGTCCTGGGGACTGAAATCAATCTTAAGAAAAATTGATAGACTAATAAATTCTATCGATTAAATTAAATTTTTTTTATCTTCATTAGAAATTAAAAATTTTTTGGTAATGAAAAAATAATATATCTTAATGAAAACATATGATATGATAATGATGTGAGGACTTTTATTTATCTTCTTTTTGTCAGCTTCACTAAATCTTATTCTTAAAGTCTTGACAAATGGGATTGATTGAACTTCATTTAACTTGTATAATTAAATTTGTACTATTGCTAAATCTAAATCTGCTTGAGTTTACTTCCTCCACCCTAACCTATTGTCATGCTAGCCAAAGTTAAATCAAGATTATCTTTTAAAAAAAGAAGGAAATTATAGTGCTAGAACAGGTGAAAAATAGAGATATGAATGGTTTCAAGTTTGTTTAGTAATAGTTGCAAAAAAATATACAAGGTTGACTGTTATTTTCGTTTTGTTTGCTAAAAAAACATAAAATAAAGAAAAAATAATCTAATGATTGATTTAATATGTAGGCTATTATCAAAGAAAGGTAAATTTTGGTGTCAGTGAGCTATAAATTTCTAAAAGTTTGGTGAACAATGCTAGACAGTATTATTTGGTCAAAAAATAAGTTCAGCCTTGAAATTTTTTTAGAGTGGCACCCCTGAGTACATCCTCACCATCCTCTTAATTTTTAAATTTATTAGTTAAAACTTTTGAAATTTTGCGATTAATTTTTCCAGAATTATGTAGTTTTTTTTATGGAGTTTAAACGCTTTATTATAAATTTTTTTATGCATAATTTNTCAAAAATCCCCGGGTTTTTTCAAACCCTGGTTTAAACGCTTTATTATTAACTTTTTTATGCATAATTTATAATCTGAATGTTTTTTTTTTTCAAAAAGGTTTTGAATATGTTAATCTTTTAGAAAGTAGATGAGATTTTCATTTTGCGATTATTGGCTGATATTTTTTATTTCATTTTTTAATGCTTGATTTTTTAATTGTATTCTTCTCATTTTAGAATTTATCTGAGTCCCCGGATTTAGATTTCAAGTACAGTGATACTGATGAACATGGGAATGAAATAGCTGGTATTTTAGTTTTATAATTTATTTTCTACATCTCTGCATCTACTATCTATTTTTAATTCTAGTTTATATATATATATACCCTTAATATTTTTCTGTCTGGAGAGAGATTACATCAACATTTTATATCCGTTTTTGTGAAATCAATATATTTTGTTTCTAAATAAGATAAATTCCTTTAGTAATTAACACTTTTAGTTTAAAAGTGTATTGATTTAATTTGCATTTTTATTTATTTACATTTACTTCAATTGAAATTTATGGTAGTGGATACATATAGGTATAATGTTTCATAAGTCCATTAACTCATTGATGCAACTTATATCGGTTAAGAAAATTTGCTTTTTGAGCATTTGTGTTTTGCAGGATTAACTCCTTTTTTTACTTTTTTTTATTTCAATTAAATAAATCAAATATGAAATTTTATTATTAGTTATCTATGTTCATTTAAATGTTTTAATGACAGCTTAGTTATATATTCAAAGCTGTTAATAAATTTCAAAATTAGTTTAATAAAATGCTTAGATTGCATTCTTTTTCTTTTCTTTTTTTGACCCATTTGAAATATTTGATCAATTTTGAAGGAACCTGTGCTATAAATTTTAAAAAGATTGTTCAATTCTATTTCATTTTAGAACTATACAGCTATACCGAGGAACCAGAATTTTGCTTGCAGAAAAAAGCATTTGAAGACTTGATGTCTGATTTTGGTAAAACAAAACTACCTTACTCTAATTGAATGCTTTAATTTCTTTTTGTATTTAAATTTTAATATTAAACATTGTATAGGGTTTAATATTATTTTTACAATCAAATTTAGATAGAATTGTAATAAAAGAAAGAACATTGTTTCATTTAAGATATCTTTTACTATCATATTTTTATTTTTTTTAGTTTATAATTTTTTTTAGTTATGATAAAAACTTTTTAATTTTTAACTAAAACATTAATTAATTCTTTGAATACGGAGTAAGAAATGTAAAACTTTTTCAATGTTAGTTGAATAAATCTTTTTTTCTTCACAGTATTCTGTAAGAATGGATAAAAAAAAAATTTTGTTCTCAAATTCAGCACACTCATAGCAGAGTTGAAGAAACATTAATTGTCAATTAGTAGGAAGATTCAAGGAGGGAATATTTTTATTTGACTGAGAACTTCAGATGAAATGCAGAAAATAGAAATAAGGCAACTTAATACTGTTCATGCAAAACACTCAGTTGACGAAACATAATATTATTTAATTTTATGTTTTTATTAAAATGTATAATTTTGTATTGATTTTAATTATTAGCTTAATATGATGGAAATTAATTTTTTTTTATAAATTAAGAAACAATTATGAATAATAAAGAAAGTTATCAAAACTAATCTCCATTAAATTTCCTTCCTTTGTCTCAAAAAGTAAAAAAAAATTGAGGACAAGTTTTTGTATTATCAATAAAGTTTATTGGTGTTAAGTTTAATTACAGTTTTATTTGTGTAAATTTTGTAGAACAGTTTGCACTAAGTTTTTATTTTTGTTGACTCAGGCTTACCAGTTCGATGGACAGATATGACTAATGATCAAATGGAAAAAGCAATATTGCATCTGCTTGATTATATAGAGATGTCACAGCGGACAACTCGTATGCAAGCAGCTAGAGCTGTTCTCTATTTGGTGCAGGGTGGTTTTGGTGAATGTCTTGTGATTGAAGGTCAATATTCAATGGCTAAAAAAAATGTAGTTCTGCTTTATAGATACGGTGTCTTCAACACATTCGTGCAACTACTCAATATGGAAATCGAGTATGTTTACTAACTTTTTCTAATTTTTCCAGTATATTTTTGAATTCTGAAAAATTAAAAAGAAAGAAATTTTAGGATTAAAGTTCTATTTTTATTTGTTTTAGCTGAAAAAAACAGTGTTTTTCTTATTGTATATGGCGTATTCAATACAGTTTTGCAGCTATACTTAATTAAGAAATATAACATGTCCTAACTTTTCTCTATAATTATGTCAGATCTTAATTATTAGTGAATTTTCTAAAGTACCATCTGTCAAGCAGAACCTCTTTTACTGGCAAAACCTCATTTGTGCATATAGTGTTACAGTTAGTATTTTTAAAAACTGATAATGTTAAGATATTTTTTTTTGAAAGTAATTTTAGAATAAAAGTTTTTTTTTTAGTAATTTAAAAAAACGAAATTTTGATTAATTTCAGGATAGAATTTTTTGGTACCTTTTTTCACAGATAGGACAATATTTAGTCCTATGATATTGTATTTGTTATCCCTTGATCTTACTTTCTTATATTTGCTTGATTAATGCATTATTGCTAAATGGATCCATCTATTTTAAATATAATCTGAAATGGTAAAACAACTTAATAGAACTACGATTTGTGGATTATTTGTAAGATTCAACTATGGATGGGTGATCTAATGTAAACAATAACAAGCGTCCTTAAACCGGAAGAAATTTAGAAATTTTCCGGTGTATCCCTCCGCTTATGTTATGACTACGAGGCGATGTGTGAACAAGCCTAATATTCTATGCAGTTTTGTTATTGTAATTTGGGTTCAAATCTAAACATAATTGTACCATTCATAAGAGCTTTCAGAAATGTATTGCTTCTCAGAGGTCGTAAGGCCAAAAAAAATTTTGGAAAGTAATATCTCATAGTGAATAATTCTTAAGGCTTGCCATGTTTTGTATTTTATCCCTTATTTGGCTACATTTGAATAAAATGTTGCCAAAAATATCTCTAAAAATATCTTTTTAAGTTAGCCTAATTAGAAAATATTCTAATGATTATATATTAATATGATAATGCTGAAGTTTAAGGGCTGAAAGAAAGAACTCGGTACATGTGAAATACTGCAAAAGATATGATGCAATAATATGATGGTGCGTTTTTTCAATCTGCGGCATAAAAATATATCGGAAGTAGTAACCCGGAAGTCTTAAAAGAGCAATTTTACCACTAGCGCCACCACCCTTAGCTTTACACGATCACCCATCCATACTCCGATTCACCTCAAGTTGGCACTGGAGAAAGGTAGGTAGACCAGATTGCAGCCGTTGTCATGGAAACTGGGTTACTCTTTAAGTTAGTTGGAGGCATGAGGTAGCAAAAAATTAGAAAAATGGCCAATATTGGCGTGAAAGAAAACAAATCGCCGATTTTTTTGAATGAATTTTTTTCCAAGAATCTTTCTAAAATTTTGTACAAAATACAGAAAAGAACAAGATTTTCTTATTATGATTTTTAAAAAACAGATTTTTCTAATTATAATTTTTAAAAAACAGATTTTTCTAATTATAATTTTTAAAAAACAGATTTTCTTATTAATATTTTTTTTTTAACTGAACGAAACTAATTTTAAATGAAACAAAATTATATTTAAAAAGATAATTTTTTAAAATTAAATCTAAGAAAAAAATACAGAGATGCTCATAATTATTTTATTATTTATTATACTTATTTTTGTATGCAACCTTTTTTTTTTTATAGATTTATCTAAATTTATCCCACATTGGTGTTCTGTGGGGGAAGGAAAAGTCAACATAGGCATATAAAATTAACAATTAATGCAAAAAATAACAATTAATAAATATAAAAAAACAAGCTAACAATAATTAACTAGCAAAAAAACCCCAAATTAATAGTTAACAACTAATAAAAAACAAGCGATGTGAGTGAAAAAAAGCAAAATAAGAGCTGACTGAACAGTGCAAAAACATAGACAACATGCCTATTTCTTGTTCTCGAAAATTAGTTCATAGCCAAACTAGAACACCTCCTTCTTCTTTGTACATTTACTTTCCTGAAAAGGTATTTATAAGTTAAATGCATTTAAACATGATAAAACTTCTAATACATGTTTCAAGATAAACTTCTCTTATTATATAGCATTAATTTATATTTGTATGCACATTTAAATTGTAATTAATTATAAAATAGCAAAGAACTGCTTTTTCTAAGGTGTATTATTACATCTCCTACTTTTCCCTGTAGTGCCAATTTGAGGTGAAACGAACTATAGTAATACTGTATTTATGACTGTATTTTTTTATTTTACAAACTGATTAAAAGTAATGGAGCATGATGGGAATTTAAAAGCATAAGAAATAGAAAAGTAATTTAAGTTGCATATCCTATATTCTTAAAATTCTTATAAACTAAATGCTTTAGTTTATTAGCATGAAATGGCTTTAATTTTTTGCATTTCATTATTAATTTTTCTTTTTTTATTCTTATAGAAACAGCAGCGCTGCTACTTCTGCTTTAAGGAAACCGGCTGTTTCTTTAGGTGATAGTATTGATCTGCGTATAATTTTGAATGTTTTGTATACTTTTGTGGAGGTAATGCGAGTTTTGAATGACGAAGACTATTTGAAGATTAGAGAGACTTTTGTTGAAGAACTAGGTACAATGTTTAAGTTATAAAGTAATAATCATGCATTGCAAAATTGTATAAATATTTTGCAATGCATGATTTTTGATACATTATCTACAGTAATTTCGATACATTAATATATATTTTTGATACATTATCTGCATTATTTGGTTATGTGTTGTTATTATTAAATATAACTTACGTTACTAAAACATAGCTATTTTCCCTAAATATTTTGGCATATATGAAAATGAAGTATAATTAAGCATTAAGAGACTGTAAGATCACAATATTTGTTTTAAAGTTATTGATTATGATTATATAATTATATTATGTGTTTAAGCAATCTTAATTTTTTTAAATTTAATTATTACATTATAATGAATTATAAATAATATTTTTAAACCATGTTGTAAATATATTTAATTATTAGCATCACCTCTGAGTGGAGAACTTCTTGCTCATACACTTTTCCAAATGGTTACAAGGTTTTGTTCTGGGAATGCTCCACATTTTCCAATTAAGAAGATTTTACTGCTTTTATGGAAAACAATATTGGTATTACTTATTTTTTTAATAGTCGAATTAATAGTTTATAATTGCAAACATGTGTATTCATTTATTGTGTAACGTTAAATGTAATGCTATACAATCTATACATATATTGGAATTAAACAAAACTAACTAACAGTTGTAATAAAGTTAAAAATTTATACTTATTGTTCTGCTGACTATTTCCTGTTTGCTAGATAAATCATACATTTATAGTTTACCAAGCTTTAAATGTTAGTAGGTAAATTAATAAAAAAAAAATGTAATTTACAATTTTTATCAATTAATATGGTCACTGTTGATTGTTTTTGAAGTACTTTGTATCAAAGTATTAAAATAATCAATCTTTTATTTATATAAAAACTTACAAAAACCAAATAATGAATATTTTATGATACATATTCATAAATATATAGGAAAAAAGTTTAAAATCAGCAAGGAAATCAGTTTAAACTTGAAAATGTTGTATAATTTTTAAAAAAATATTTTTGTAAAAAATGATTGTTTGCCCTGTTTTATAAAGAATGTTATTAAAAAAAGTATATTGAATATTTTAGGTGTCTTTAGGTGGGTATGAAGTTTTAATAGAGACTAAAAACACCAATCGTCAGAAAGCAAACCTGGATCCGGTACCTGATGATACCATTCAAGTGACTAGGACAATGAGAGCTGCTTCTCCACCGGCATCAGCAGCAGATCTGATAGAAGCTCAGCAGCAAAGAAAAAACACCAGACCATTCAAGAGAGTAAGTTTAGAGAATTTTTCTGGAAACTGATGGATGAGAGACATAGATTAATTGTTATTATCGAAAGTTAAAAAACACCCACCTTTTCAATACTTAGGTTAAGTTGAGGTTTCCTTGAAAGTTTATAAAAGGAAGTGAAATCTTTGTTAAAACATCTTGAAAAGGTTCTCCTACTAATGTCAATATCCTTTTCAATAGAGTATGTTAAATCTTTTTGAAGAAGTTTGTTAGACATCATACCACCATTCTTCAAATAACATGTGTACTCATTTTTCACGGACAAACAGTGCTCTTATTGACAGTTTTTCTCTTCCAAAAATGTTAAATTTCCTGACAGCTTGATGAACAGATGTCTTGATCATATCTATTTTTTTACGCATTTTATATTCAGTTAAACTATCAGAATGCATGGCCATTATCTGTAAGTGCCACTAAGAGAATGCTGTCAAAGGCTAGGCTCATTACAATGTTAACCAATTGATACACAAACGTGAACAAGTGCAAACCGGTTTCAGCGGTGTAAAAACAATAAAGCTGTATAGTATCACCTGATAATTAAGATTTTAATAGAATCTTATAGTGTGTCTGATAATTTGGTCAGAGACTGTATGTGTGTTAATTAATATCATTAATTAATTATCATTAATTAATAAACATTAAATGAAAATGATTTATTATTAATTAATTATCTTACATTTTTAGAAATCATTTCAGGTTTGAGGGGGCAAACCAATCAGTGTATTTCGTTTTTCTTTGTTATCAAGTGAACATTAAATACCAAATTTTAAATTTAATTTATGAACTTGTTAATAAAATTATTTAACTGTATGTATGCTAATTAATATCATTAATTAATTATCATTAATTAATTATCAATAAATGAAAATTATTATTAATTAATTAGCTTACATTTTTAGAAATCATTTCAGGATTGAGGAGGCAAACCAATCAGCGTGTTTCGATAACAAAGCAACATTTGATAGCAAAGAAAAATCTTTGTTATCAAATGAACATTAAAACCAAATTTTAAATTTAATTTTTGAACTCGTTAATAAAATTATTTAACGTAAGTTTTCAATATATATACTGAATATTTATATTCTAAGCTCATATGTATTTGTTTTTAGCAAAGTTTAATTAAACAGAGCAGCATGGATGACTCAATGGCCTATCAAGATTTGGATTCTGATAATAATTCAGATGACATTATGAGATACATTGAAGAACAGGAAGGGGTTGAAGATGAGTATAGACCACCCACTCCACGTCCATCAACACCTCTGCCCACTGCCCTCGGTGATCAAGAGGCTGAACTACAAAATAAAGGTCTTCCTTGGGTTCCAAAAGTGCGTCCAAAAGATATTGATGCTTTCCTGGATCACACCCGTATGAAATTTATCGGATATTCGCTAAATAATGATCAGACAAGTTTAGCAGGATTGCCACTGCCTATACATGAAGGTCTAAAAGTTCTAAAACAGGTAAAGTTCTGAAATAAATCTATCTAGTAAGAGGAAAACTATAGTTATTTAATACAAGAAATTTCAGTGTATTTCATTTGTAGTGTTTTTAAGTTTTGAATATTTTCATTTATGAGTTATAATTGTTCAAATGCTGTTTATAACAAAAGCTGATTTTTGATGTATGAAGATTTGAAACTGTCAACTGTTTTAGTTTATTTGAATAAAACAAAAATGGATGATAGTAATTCTTTTGCTTATTTTATGTCAAAAGTTGCAAATAAAAATTTCTAAAATTTTATTTCATTTTTATTTTTATACATTAAAGGAAAAACTATAGGATTTTTTTTATTGAAAATTTCTGAAATTGTATTATTAATGCTTTTTAAACATCTTTTTTTTAAAAATTATTCTATCTTTTACATTTTTTTCAATTCTGTCCTATGGATATGAAGGGGGTCATCCATTTTAATACATTATAAAATATTACACATTATCAAATTATAAACACTAACAATTATAGAAGTTTGTTTAGTACTTATTATTAAATTTAACCAACATGTTCAACCAACCAACTGCCGGTTTAGCAAATGGGCAAAATTGGGAGGATGTTTCTTCCCTTTTACCCTATCTAATAATATGGAAAAAGCTATGCTGTGAAGAAGACAGCAGATTAAAATACAACTTTTTACGTGCAGAACTGTCAGTGGGTTAAAGGATTTGGATTATTATTAATTACATTTTGAGTTTGATATAGTTTTGTTGTGTGCACAATTAACTATTTTCTTTATTTTTAATAGCATGTGTATATTTCATTATCTGATGTCCAAATTAAACAAGAAGAAGAAAATGCTAAATTGCCATTATCTAGGGTAATTGATAATTATTTCTTTTTTGTGTGTAAATTGTTGTTAATTATATTTTGTAATATATCATATTCAATACAGAATTTTTTCTGGTTTGTTTGTGATGTATTAAATAGTATTGAGAGTTTAAAATATAGCTTTTACAGATTAAAGTACTGTACTTAAAAATTTCATTCTATACTTCATGTATAAGTCTACGCAATGTTAAGCTTCTCAACTTAAAAGATACACTTTTAATCATACTTACATCTCTCATAGTGTTCTATTTTTTACTGCTGTAATTATTTCTTAAAAATATAAAATTTTTGGTTTGTAATGTTCTTAAAAAGTTATGTTTTCTGGAGGAAATGGAATAAATTAGATAACTTTTTCTAGGTATTTTTAAAAAAAAAACTTGTTTCATGTTTAAAATGTATTTGTCATTTTTGATCTTAACGTCTTAGGTATTTAAATGATTATTTCATAAAAAATTATAATATTTACAAATTCTTAAAACATTTGTTAAGTTGGATAATAGGTAACACTGATTTCACTAAATTATAGATTAAATAGTTCATAATTAAGACAGTTTTTTTCTTTTTTACTAGATTGTTGTTATTATTTATATTAGTGACTTTTAATGTAAGAATCAAGCAAGCATTTTTTTTTTAGCAAAATGAAAGAGTACGATCAATTAGTTTTATACAGAGAACATTCAGAAACTTTTGAAACATTGATTCTGTTCAAATTTTATCATAAGTGTTTGATGCCAAACTGAAACATAAAAAAAGAAAAAAAATCTTATGCATGACATTAAATGCTGTTACAGTGAAACTTATTGATAGTTTGCTGTAAAGTTTGGAAATAAACAATACACCTTTTTTGTTTAATAAATTTGAAGTTTGTGTCTTTATTTTAAGATAAATATATTTACAAATTAATAAATTGAATTCTTTATATTTTATAATGATTTTTTTATGTGAAATTAAAATATACCAACTAACTTAAATTTGGAGTTTTTAGATAAAATTGTGCTGAAGTAAAGACAATTGACATGTATTAAAAACTTGCACAATTGATTATGCGTTTTTTTGTTGTTATTATTTACTATAACAGATTTTTTTAAAATTTTTGTTTAATAGGAAAAATTGTTTATAAATTAAAAAAAAATTGCTTTATTTCTTCTACTTTATTTTATTATTTTTCTTACTGCTCTTTTTGTCAATATGTTAAATTCGTTTTTATTTTTCATTTGTAACCTTTGTTTTCTTCAGAATCCATAGTTATTTCTACCTAACAAGTGGTACTATTTTGATTCTATATGAGTGCCGTAATAATCACACAGCTTTTAATTAATACATGGTAAAATAATTAGCTAAAAAATTTACACTTATTGTCTGTGTTTATTTTGTCATGCTACTTGCTATGAAAAGGAATTAATTCATTAAAATTAGTTTGCATTGCTTTTCAAGCCACCAAAGCACCTTGTAATTCTGACTTGTAAAAAGTCATTCACTGTGTATTTCAGTGATATGTGTATGTGTTTTTTTTTCTGCACAAAAAATACTCTAAGAATCAACTAAAACATATTCATGATACACCTTTTTAAAACATAGAGTTTTTGTTTAAAAATATTTTTTTTTTATTTGCCATCTTTTTCATACGTTTTTAAAATAATTTGGTCACGGGTATATTTTAATCAACATATATAAACTTTAAAAAAAAAAATAGTACTTGTTTTAACTATGAATTTGTATTACTTGTTCTCTATTAATTTTTAATTATGTTTTCTGTTATTTGTGGTAATAATTGTAGTTCTTATTCTGTTTTAGAAAGACATAATCATTCCAGAAACCAGAGTAGAAGTTTTATACCGTTCTATCCTACCAAGCTTACCCCAATTCATGGTAAAAATTTTATTGATTTGTTGTTTACCAGTTTAAATGTTTTTAACAAATTATAAAACTATTTTATATGTGTACAATATTTGTTTAAATACTTGTAAATGTAATGTTAAAAAGAGTATTTCTAAAGGGTACATTTTATTAAGAAAAAGATAATTATCCATATCTCCTTGCTAATTCATTCAAGGTGGATTTCTTAATATTGTGCCCAAGTTCTTGCAGCTATAAAGAGTCATCAATCGAACACATATGGTCAGTAAGATGGAGGAGTAGGGAGTTTATATGTTAAATTATAAATACTTTAACAGGTGGCATTTTTTTTAAAAACTGTCATCTGTAAATATGTGTAGGGATATAGCGAGGATTTCTTTAAATTATGCAAATTTAGGTTTTTTTGTATTTATAAAGTGTTTGTATAAAACATAAATAAACTATTAGTAATTTAACCTATTCAGCGTTGTGCTCACTTTTGGAAAATGATTCCTTGTCGAAAGAAGTGCCTTTGGTCAAGTTTATGCATAGCAAGAATCACCAGTCGTTTCGTTTTTGCACTAGATTACTGTTACTGTACTAGATACTCTGTTTATAATCATGTATCAGTTGAAAATAATAATGAACTCTTCATAAAGACAAAAAGAAATATCTCTTTTCTAGATAAACCTATTGTGATTAACTCTTTATATAATTTTTTATTTGAACTAGTCTTTTTGTTTCTTTTGCTTTATAATGTGATTAATAATGTTTCAAAATTTAAGATGATTATTAAGAAATAATAATTAAATATAATTTAGGACTTAAAATGAATAGATTTTAAATGAAGGAATATTTTCTTTAGTAATAGGCATATAGTTTTTTTTTCTTGAATCATTGTGAATTTTATCAAAAAAGTCTTAAATAATAATCATTACAAACTAGTTTTGTTTCTGCAAGGAATCTTATGTAAAATTTATGGTAAGAAAAATTAATGATGATTAAGATTTAATTGAAAATGATCATTTTCTTATATGTTTTATTTTATTTTTAGATAGCTCTTTTAAAAATACTGCTTGCAGCTGCTCCTACTTCAAAAGCCAAAACGGAATCTATCAATATAATGGCTGATGTTTTGCCGGAAGAAATGCCGTAAGTTTTTTTTTGTTTTAACTTTTTAAAAATAAAATACAGTGTGATTGAATTGTCTGCTTTTTTTATTCTTAACTTGAGTCTTTAAAGTTTTGAATTAAATTAGTTATTAGAAATTAACTTAACTCAAGTTTGTAATTTTGATCACCAAAATGGGTAATTGCGCATCAAAAAATGAAATAGCTATGCTCAAAATATTGCTCAACAATGAAAATGTATTGTTTTTTGGAATATTGCTCAATTTTAATATTGTTGAACAATCGGCTCCCACTGCTTTCCTTATTTTAGCTACAATTTATAGCACAATTAATGTGAAATCAAAATCTTGTGGATATTTGGAGACATTCTTTATGTCTTTCAGTAGTGCTTAATGTTTTTAGGGTGTTATATGAATTTTAAAGTTTTTATTTGACATTTTAAAAATGTATACATGTTGTATGAGTTATTTTTTATGTAAACAATACACACTTATAATGTAAAAAATACATTAATATAATTATGTATAATTATGTTGCCTCATACTTATAATTATGTTGCCTGTGCCTTTCATTTGTATAAATTTTGAACTATTTTTGAAATAAACTTCTTATATGTTCTTAACAAAATCTTCTACTTCATATGAGAAGATTTTGTATTTATTTCTAGTTAATATCTAAAGTCTAGATTTCTCTTCACATATTAAGTGTTGATTTTTTTGTTACTATTTTTTAAAAACTGTAAATATATTGTAAACACGTTTATGTATTTTCTAGAATGACAGTCATCCAGTCACTAAAGTTAGGAATTGATGTGAATAGACATAAAGAAATAATTGTAAAAGCAATATCAGCCATCATTCTCTTGCTTTTGAAACATCTAAAAATAAATCATGTTTATCAGTTTGAATACATGAGCCAACAACTTATGTTTGCCAACTGCATCCCTCTTGTCTTAAAGTTTTTCAACCAAAATATCATGTCTTATGTTGGAGCAAAAAATACGTAAGTTTTCCCAATGCTGTCTTATAATTTTAGTTTACTTTTTATAATCTCTAGTCTCTTTTTTTATAATATTTTTTATATAAAATATATTTTGTTTTATATAGATTTTTATTACCTAAAAAATCTGAAATAATAGAAATTTTCTGAAATAAATATTAAAAATATTATATAATCAAGTATTTTGAAGTCAGGGGTTAAACATATAGGTACATGAAGGAAAAGAGCGTAAAAATGTCATAATGTTTTCATACAATTGTACGTTAAACGATACAAATTTTTTTAAAAAAAAGTTATAATGCAAAGCACTTGTAATTTTAAATGTATTGAAAAAGATTTTGAATTTATTAAAGTTATTCTTTAACACGAATATTCTGTAGACATATTTGTTTTGTGTTAGTTAAAAGTTTATAGATTTTTTTTTCTTTCATTCATTTTTTTAAAAGTTTTTTAAAAGGAAATGTGATATTCATTTATCAATTCTATAAACTTGTTTTACATGGTGTGAAATTTATACAATGAAGATACTGTGTTAGGCACAAAATTTTTGTGTAAATTTTGCCTAGTATCAAATGTCAAAACAGTTAAAGGGTTAAAATAAGGGGTTCCTGTATAAAAAGTACACAAGAGTGATAGGATTAGAAACATATTAGTGAAGGTATCACTGTTGTTCAGGATTATAAGGAAAGGTAAGGATATAGACAATACACTTCTGTGGAACTGGTTAACTAGTTCATATGAAAGCATTTAATAAGAAATGAAAGTGGATGTGTTCAAAATAGAACTCCACGAAAAAGTATGATTATTAGTTCCAGAAGGTGATGACACCAAACTTTTACTTATTTCAAAGAAAGTGTTGCACAGATATCACAAGTATATATATATATATATAAACTGCTGTTTGTAGAAAATGCAACACCATGAAAGAATCATCAGAATCAAATGAAATTTAATGCAGAAACGACTTGTACTGATACAAATAAATGATGAAATTTTCAAAACAAAAGAAACAAATTANTTGATTCTGATGATTCCTTCATGGTGTTGCATTTTCTACAAACAGCAGTTTATATATATATATATATATATATATATACTTTTCAATGACATCTAATCATTTCATCAAAAGCGGGAGTGAATTCATGTTACATCATGGCATATGCTTGGCCTGAGTCTCGGCAGATCTGATATTTATGCAAACACTTCACAAAAACTTTAACACCATTTTTTCACAGTTCGCATTGCGCTAACTTTATGTCATTAAAAATTGTATTATTGGACATAGTTCTGTTTTGGATGCTTTACATTTACTTTAAATGCTCTCAGCCTGAAGTGATGTCAGCATGTGTATCCATCTTTATTGGCTGTTGAAATGCTGCATTTGTTTATGTTAGCTACTGTACTTTCCATTCTATTCAGAGTAAGCCTAGCCTCTAAAATATGAATTCTCTTAAATGGCACATTCTATATTTTTCCCCAAAGAAAGATATGGCTTATTTTTTACTTAACACAAAGACAGGCACAAAGCCATGTAGAACATAAACAAACTAATTATACAACTAAATTATCAGATACACAAAACAAGAATAATCACAGTTACGATAAGATACACAAACAAATGATAAATCTAGATTAAATAAAATACGTAGACAGGAAAGAATTATATTTCAATAAATTCGATGTGCAATATGGCATTGTATTTAATTAACTTGACTTTAATTTATATTCTAATTTATGTGGAGAAACTTACCTCAACCTAAGTCGTATGATGAATATTAACACTTCATCTCATTTATAAACAACCAGCTGATGCTAAAGTAATAGGTCAGGTGTCTGTGTATCAGTGATCTACTTGAATTAAAAGTACCCAATTGGATATTCCGTATTATAAATTAAAGTAATTGGTTAATTTGATAAAATGTTTTGCAAATGATAACTCTTTAGAATGATTGTTAAAATAAAAATGATTTATTTCATGACAAATTTTATAAAACTTCAAGATTTTTTTCCATCTAAACTGTTTTGGATTACATGTTTATTTACATGTCATTTACATGACAAGGTAAAATACATGTGACATTTGTATAGTTTATTTTAATATTTATAAGCATATATATTTTCTTGCAGCATAACAGTTATAGATTTTCCAGCCTGTGTGATTGGTGAACAACCAGAATTAAGTGAAGAAACTTTAGTATGTTTATAAATGTTTGATATTTTAGTAATTGTGTAATATTTGTTAACTTTATTTAAACTATTATTGTTTTTTTCCTTAGGAAATGGGAGACCAATTACCGTATTGTTGGCGAAATTTATTCTCCTGTATAAATTTATTACGCCTTTTAAATAAACTCACTAAGTGGAAACATTCTCGCATAATGGTAAGTAGAGAATTAAATATATTTGTAGATACTGTTTAATATTTTTCCTAAATATATCTGTGTTATAAAAAAAACAGCTTCTTATTGGTTGACATTTAATTCTTCAGTACTTTAATGCCTTTTTAATACATTTTTATATTAATGCATTTTTAATAATATATGTAAAGAAATACATTAATATCTTTTAGTTTTGTTTCTTACCTAAAATGTAATGAGATGCATGGTAGTTAATTTTACATTGTTAAAAACGATTCAGCTTAATTTAAATACTAAAGTTAATTTAAAAAGTTTATTTTTCACTCAAATAAGTTAATGTTTTACCATAAATTTTTTACAAGTAAAGCATTTTTAAGTTTTAAATAGGCATACATATACTTGAATACTTTTCGTATATATTTACAGACTTACTTTTGTACATGTTTACCTTTGTCATGTACATGTTTATATTGTTTAATTTTTTCTTATTTTCTTTTACTTTCTTGCCTTTCCTAAATGTTTATGCATTTCATTTGATATAGTCAAATTGATTACATTGCAAGTGTTTTCTGATATTACATCTTTTTTAACGTGAGAATTTATTTTATTTTTTTTGTCAAATGAATTTATTTTTTGAAAACAAGTATATTTCTTATCTATTTTTGTTTAATTAAGACATTTACCAGTAAAAATCTTGAAGTTATACATGCATATTTTTTTTACAGGATTGTATGTATTTTTGAAAGATTGTTTTCAAAACATATACTTCCTGAAAGTTATTGTAAGATTTATATGATGTAATTAAATTGATTACCTTTGTATCATTTTCTACTGAGACTGTTGTACATAACTGAGTTACTAAATAATCTATCAGAATAATTTTAAATTACATCTTTTCTAATTTGAAATGTATACATAAAATTTATTGCCACTCTCTATTTTTTCTGTTATTTTTTGCTTTACCATACATTTTTAATTTTTTAATAATCTTTCTTGTTATACAGTGAAATCAATCCCCAGGAAAGACTACCTCGCAACCACTTTTGGGAGGCAAAGAATTTTTTCCATAGACTTTGTGTTGAAGAAAACCCTTAGGAGGGACAATTAAAACCTCTCCTAGAGATTGGGAAAAGTTTTGCACCAAATGTGGAAAAGATCAAATAAGGAAAAGGAAAAAATTACCAAAACAAAAAATATTAACAAAAAAACATATAAGTAGATTCAAATGTATTCAAAATATTGTGAGTGACTCTTTTTTAGAGAGCTCTTTTTAACCATCTCTGAAAGAGATTGGCAACCTCATGTTGAGTATAAGAGAATTAAGTAGAGTGCACTAAAACCGATACTATCAATGAAATTTTTTTTAAAGTTAAATTTAAAAAAAGAGACTAAACATTTCAAGTAAACAAACTTCTTCTCACTTTTTCTAGCTAATTTTTTTGATATAAAATTGAATGCAAACTTAAACAAAAAACATATTTGTTTATTTATTTAAAATAGTTCTATCATACATAATTGGCATATTTATTTTTACTCATAATTAGGGGTCATTTTTTTTGACGCTAAGTTTTATTCATCGGTTTTGAACCGGCTTTCATGATGCCAACACAAATGGCACTTCTGCACTAAAATTAAAATCGTTTGCAAAATCATGTACCTTCGATAGCATTTTGAAATCAATGGAGGTAACTCCTAAGAACAACCAACGTCCATTAATGACCATTTTAATGTGGAGCACAGAGTAGTCGCTCCGGAGAGGTTTCCCTGTAAAATACAATTTTTGTATCACCCATAGTCCTTTGTATCATCATTAAAGACCTCAGATAGAAAATGTGCAATTTATATCTACAATTTTTATCAGCTATGTAAAGTTTCAAAAATTAAAAAAAAAAGTTTTTCAATTCTATTAAGTACCTTTGTGTCTAATACAATGCAATTAATTTATAAGCTTGTAAAAGAAATAGTTATTTTTAAAATGACTATTATTTAGAAAAAAAGCCAACTTTTTCTGCTTCTTATAATAGGTACAAATTTTTGAGGGAAAGAATAGTACTGATTTGTGAAACTTTGATCTATTAATATGTGCTGCAAATTTTCGCACACTAAATTTCTCAAGGTACTTAAAAACAAAGGAAATTCTTTTTCTGTAATGATAACAGAGTAGTGAGCCCAATTTTTTTCTTCAAAAATACATAATATAGTTTTCGTTTATAATTATTATAATATTCTTTTTTGCACATCTATTTATTTTTCTCCCTTTTAACAGATGCTTGTTGTTTTTAAATCTGCTCCCATCCTCAAACGAGCTCTGAAAGTGAAGCACGCTATGATGCAGCTCTATGTCTTAAAGCTACTGAAAATGCAGACAAAATATCTAGGAAGACAATGGCGAAAGAGCAATATGAAAACTATTTCTGCAATTTATCAAAAAGTTCGCCACAGATTAAATGATGATTGGGCTTATGGAAATGGTAATTAAATTATTAAATGTCTTTAGAAAATACATAGTACTTAAATTCACTTTAAATTTCCAAAATAGTTATGATGTTAATTTTTTTTCATATATTCCTAAATATATGTTGAACTAAAAATGTTAATGGCATTAATTTGGCTTTCCTACTTGCTTCTACTGTCTTGAGTTATTTACTAAAAATTAGATTAACTAGAGTATGTTTAATGCATTGCTTAAAAAGAAAGAAAAGCTACTTTTCCATTTTGCCGACGCAAGTAATTTCGGCTATTTTATCTCTTTATTTATTTATTTACTTTTTTTTAAAAAAAGAAATCACTTAAAAAATCACAAGCAAACAAATAAAAAAAAGACAACAAAAAAAACAATTGAATTTACTTAACTTGAATGCGACTTAATCCCCTGCGAAATGAAAAAGTTCAAAAAAAAAAACTTAAGTTCATATGTGGTGATAAAATATCACTATGAAAAAGTATATTGCTTGAAACTTAGTTTTTTTCCTTGCTAAAAAGAAGAATAACGTAACTCTTATGGCACCTAAATGTTTGAAGAATTAAATTTTAAGAAAAAAAACCCTTTCAAAATGCTATATTTTTTTATTGCTTATGTATATAGATAAACCTTTAAGATTTGGATATGTCTTTGAAGTGAGGGGAAATAATGAACTACTAAAGTAATGAATTATTTCATTATTTCGTTGAAGTAATTTATTTATATTCATATTAACCAATTTTAGATCAAATAAAAATATACAAGGTGATAAGAAATAATGAGGACATACATAATGCATTATAATTTTCATGCTTATTGAAATATCCCAACTAAAGTTTTAAATAAACATGAAAACATAAACATGTAAACTGTTAACATATTTAAGTTTCCAAAGTGATCATATCCAGTTTTAATGCAGAGATATAAACATGCACCACTTGTCAGTCAGTGTTGCAGAACAATATCCCATTGAATTTTTTTTCCGAAGAACTTTTTTGGTCAAAAAAGAATATCTTAAAATGAGTTTGAGTTAAAAGTATTTTGTTTTAAATTTTGTCCTACTCATTTCTTGTGATCCTGTATTCATAATTTAAAGGATTTGAATGTGAGTATCAGAGGTATAACATAACATATTTCCATCCAAGAAAAATATGTTTGTCCAGTATGACCGTAACTTAATATAATTGTAAAGAGTTGATAAATGGTATAATGTTAGATATGTGTGCCTGTCATATCATTTAAAAGCTTTAATAAAACTAATCTTTTATTTATTATAATATTTTAATATGTTAATAATATATAAATTAATAATGCTAGTAATTTTTCTTTTATTTAAGATTAAAATTGAAAGTTCTTTTGTAAATTAACTTAAAGCACAGTGTTGTTTTTTAAAAAAATTATAAGATGATCCCAAGAAACCATTAATAACTAACTCATGAATAATAATAAACCTCTGTAAATCATTGATAGTTCAAGGTTTTTTCCTCCTTTTTATTAGTTATTACTTTTTGGATGGGTATTTTGTATAAAAATATTTTAACTATGTAGTTTAAGTGTAAGCTATTAATTATCTCCAACAAAATAAATAAATAAAACAAAAACACTAGGATATATTCTAGACTCAGTAATATTTATGCCTGTCTTTTGTATCTTTTCCTATATTTATGCTTTATTTTGTATCTTTTCCTATATACATGCCTGTATTTTGCATCTTTTCCTGTACGTTGCATCTTTTTCTATATTTATGCCTGTATTTTGTATCCTTTCCTATATTTATGCCTGCATTTTGTATCTTTTTATATCTTCTCCAAAAAAACACTAGGTATAAAAGGTTAAGTATTTTTAAAACATATTTCTTTTTGTCTATATTAAACAATTTTATAAGTCTACAGTGTAAAATCCAATCCTTGTTTGGGAAATGTTAATAGTCATCAATATATATTTTATGTACTTCTTTCAACAGATCTTGATGCAAGACCATGGGACTTCCAAGCTGAAGAATTTGCTCTTCAAGCGAGCATCAATCGTTTTCATAACAGGCGTTACGATCGATCTGGATCTTTAATAGCTCTCGATCCTGATTACCAACCAGTGGACAACAACGTTTTAAGTGTGTTAGGTAGGGAGATCGAACTCACTGATGAATTTAAATACCACTACGAGAGCTGGCTGAAAAGGGAAGTTTTTCAGCTTTCCACTGACTGGGATCAACTTTTAACTGTTCAGTATATGTGATGTTTTAGCTATAAATTATTATATTAGGTTTTGCTGCTACTGTACCTTTGAATAAAGTATTATTTACTGCTACTGATAGTTTACATTAAAGCCTTTTTTTTATACAAAATATCATTTGATGAGACAGGCTGTAAACTGATATATTTTCATTTGTAACTTTTTACCATCTCATCTCACATGATCGCTTTGCTAAGGATACTCAAACTATAGTTTGGTAACCTTCCTTATCATTTGGATGCTTTGTATTTTATGAACTGAAAAAGAATTAAAATTTTTTTTTAAAAATAATGCCAGTGAATTGCCTTTATTCTTAGGTATAGTACCCGCAAATAAAAGTCTTGTTTTAAATTATTAATTGTTTGTTTTTCAATAAATGTTTTTGCACCTCTTATGTCTGCTTTATTTTTCTACAAAAATCTGATTGTTTATTTCATTTTTGTTAGAAGTTCCTTATGAAGAAACACTCTTCCATCAAACTTTTATAACATCAGGAAGTAGTTTTTTAACTGATTTTCTTTTTGTTACAGGATTTTTTCCTGTATTTAATAATTAACAGTAGTAATGCTGTAGTCCATTATGCTTTTACTACTATAAGAAAGTTAAGACTCTTGAGGGCAAAATAATGATGCCAATATTTTTATTGTTTAAACAAGTAGACAAAACAGAGCCGTGGGTAGAGTGCTAGCCTCCCAATAAGGTGACCTGGGTTTGAATCCCAGTGATGGTTGGTTAATATGAATTCCACACCCAGCTGGTACCAACCACAGTGTTGATGTAAAATATCCTTAGTGATAGACGGACCATGGGTTAGATTCCTCTAGCTGTCAGGCTAACCATGGGAGGTTTTCCCCTCCATGTTAAACAAATGTGGGTTAGTTCCATGAAAAAGTCCTCCACAAAAGCAAATTTCTCCCAGTACTTTATCTGGGAGTTTTGTCTTTTAGATTGAGTAGAAAATTACAAGGCTGCTGAGTTGAACATTGGTAGTCGTAAACTCAAACTTGGGTCAGCTGTTCAACAACGGTGATGAAATATGTTTGATATCTAATATGTCTCAATATGTTTAAAATATTAATTAAATAATCCCCAGAAGCTGAAGCGGTAAGATATAAAACTTAACTCATTAGCTTCAAAAATGTATTTAAAGAAATATTTGATATTTATATAATTTTGAAGCGAAAAAAGTTTGTAATCAGATAATGCTTCAAATACATTTAAATTCATAAAACTATAAATTGTTAAATAATAGTTCTTCTATTTCTATAGTAACTATTATTTTTTAAATTGTGTGTGGTTATTTAAGTGTAGTGGTTCTTAAATGATTTAAATGACATCATTAACCCTTTTACAAAACAAGTATCAATTCGTATTAAAATACTTTTATTTATTTTATATTTATTCATTTTGATTTATTTGTTTATTAATTTTTTATTTTATTTCGAAAAGAATATCAAATGAAATTAACATTTATACCTTTCTAAAAATAATTTTTTTACTAATATGGTAATATTCTTAGTATAAGACTAATCAGAGAAAAATCTCTATTTATTCTTGATTTAATTGTTGATAATTGAGAACGTCATTTCGAAGCCAGTCACAAATTCTCTTGATGCGATCTGAAATAGCGGCAGCAAACACAAATGCCCCTGAAGGAAGGATACCTATTTGACACTGAAAAAGAATTGGAATAATAATAAACTATAGAAGAAAATTTTAACACTCTTTGCAAAATCTTAAACAAAGGAAAAATTTGATTTTTTTTTAATAATAATTTTTTAGTCATTAACAGAAATATTAATAAAAACAGTCAAAAAATAAAGTATAACCTTTTATAAATTGTGCATTTTTTGAAGGAAAAAAAATTGCAATTTCTGTAATATATTTCATGATAAATGTACCGCAGTGGACAGATCGTAAAGACATGGTTTCCAGTGGAACACAGGTCCCGCAGTAGACTGATCGTTAATACACGGTTCCCAGTAGATCACCGAAGTCAAGCATCGCTGACTGCGGGTTGGTGACTACTTGGATCAGACTGCGTAGGGACCGAGGGTGTGCGGTATTGATCCTCGTTAAACTGTTCTACCGTAAAGTGCAGGCCGCCGGGCTGCCGAAGCGGGGGTGGCATCCCCTCTGCAGAGGATCTAAATTGTGATGGCATGTCATCGGATCATCCTCAGGGATGTTTCCCAGACCGTCGCCAACAGCCCATTGTACAGCTCTTGTGTGACGTAAATGAACTACAACTAATGGTACAGTGGGACACAGAAGTCGAGCATCATTGGTTGTGATCAGTAAGCAGGTAGGTGACCATTTGATCAGGACAGAGAGCGCACGGTATCGGTTCTCGTTTAACCGTTTTACTGTAAAGTGCTCGACTTTGCGGGCTGGTCTTCGGGCTATCAAAGCCATCCCCTCAGCAGAGAATCAAAATTGTGAAGGCATGTCTTCGGATCGTCCTCAGGACTGTTTCTCAAGCCATCACCATTACTCCATTGTGCAGGCCTAGTACTACCAAAAAAAAAAAAAAAAAATACAACCATTTCAAATTCAATAAATTATAGAAATTAAGAGGGAACACAAAGCAGGGAGGAATAGTACTGCTGTCCTGTGCAAGGATGTCACGAATTGGTGAGTTATTGAAAGCTTATTATCTGAATTCGAAGGTTCTACATTTATTCTTGACATGTACAAAATTAGAATAAAAAAAATATTTAAAGTTTAAAATGTAGGTACATTCATCACATAGTCCAATGTAAGACAACATTGCCATGCATACGGAAACACAAGTAAATATGTGTCAATGGCATATCGCCATACATGTCCAATAATTTTGAGGAAGGATCTGAAAGAAAAAATAGAAATCTTTATTTTTCATCATGCTGAAATTATTTTTTCTATACCGTAATCTTATCTTCTGTAAAATATCAGTCGTAAGAGACCTTTAATTCCTTTACCCTTAACGTACCAATGCCACCCATAGACTTATTAGTCTATGATAAAAGGCTCCTGTCTATGATGCCACCACGGAAGCGGCGCTTTTATTTGCTTTTACTTTCAATGCAAAGTACATTGCGGAAAAAATCAATTTATTATTTTTTTCGGTTAATGTTGTCATATTTACAATTAAATTAATTATATAATTACAATTAATATTATAATTATTCATAATAGTTATAATTATTTATTGTAATTATAATTATTCCTTATAATTATACCTGATTGGAACTAAACTTGAAATGCTTTTGGACCGTTCGGTGTTAAATATCAGTTAACCACAACGTAAGCGACACTTGTACTTGCTTTTACCTCCAATACAAAGTATATGGCTACAAAATTAATTTTATTATTTTCTCTTGGTTATTGTTGTTATATTTGCAATTAAATTCATTATAAATATACTTGATTGGAAGTAAACTTGAAAAGCTTCTGGACCGTTCGGAGTTAATTAAATACTTTTTTTTTGTTGCAATTACTCATACACTTTTCAGACACGTAATTAAATTATTGTATATAACTTATTGTAAATATGTAACAATTGAAATAAAATAAAATAAGCTATGTCCTAAAAAGCAAAGTTAAAGGAGGAAATTGGTTTAGGAAACCGTAAAAAATCGCCTTTCACAGATGACAATTATTGTATTCTACTGACGGTGATATGGGCTACTGGTATTATGGTAATTGGTGCAGTTTTGATAAGAATTCGACTAAGGGTTTTTCATAGTCTTAGAAAATGTTTTTTTCAGTGGTAGCTTAATGAATTAGAAGTTTGTTCCACCAGTACATATATTTTAATAGTAAATTGAAGGTCAGATAGAGAATTGGTTATGATCCTTATCAAGTTCTAATAAGAATTCTATCTTTTTCTTCTTTAAATCGGTTTTAGTTGGCTATTATTGACGAAAGTACTTTTCAGAAAAAAAAAATATATAAATTCAAATTTTGTGGGGTTATGTAATAAGTACTAAATATACTAATATAGGTATAAAATATTATATTGATATATTTGGTGAATATTAAAACAGCACCAATACTAAGCAGTTTTAATACCGATATTTTGGAAATAAGTGTTTAACATCTCCTCGAAAGGGTACCTGAAAAAATTACTTAATAGTGGTAAATTTTGAATATTATGAGCTGACCGCGAGCCATAGATCATACCAAGTGATGCAAAATACGTTTTATCTTTAATCTAATGGGATGAACTACAAAAAACCAGTTTTGCATACTTCAATAACGTAAAGCCACTGAAAAGGGCCACAAATAATAACAAATAAAAAATGCACACTTAATTTAGCAATATTAATTGAAAAAATTTAGTGGAAGAACCAGGTAAGTGACATTTTTAGAACGAAAAAAAAAGTTGTATCCGAACTATTTTATTACCAATTTATTAGAAGGTGGGACTATTAATTAATTGCTTTATTTTTTTGCCACTGCCTAATTCGTAATTAAATAAAATGCAAACATACTGAAAACTGATGTGGATTAGTTATGTTAAGATTAAGAGTGAAGGCAAAAACACTGTTACAATAAACATACCCATATTGATGCAAACACCTTTTGTTATTTTTTCTGATTCATTGAGTCCCCAAAAATGTCACTTTCCTGGTTCTTTTAAAAAGCTCTTTAATAGAATCTGTATATGCTTTTCAGTTTCGAGCAAGATTTCGTAGTGTTTCTTCAATTATTTATTGATTCTTTACTTATTTTTTATTCACTCCGTGTAAAGAACGGGTATTCAGCTAGAAGAATTATAAAATTAAGCTTTACAGTATTCTTTAACATAAAAACTTAAAAAAACTATTTATTTTAATTTTTAACAAAATTCATAAAGAAAATAAATTTTCCGCAATTTTTCCTATTCGGCTTACACTTATTTAAAAATTATGAATAAATAGCTCGAAAATTAATCCTAATATTTAAGCTGTATTGAAATGATAAATTGTTAAGAGATTTGATTTTTCTTTTGAAAAAGAGTTTCTTTCACTTGAGTTGGAAGAAACAGATTTCTTCTGGACTGGTTTTTTAAACAGTGGAAGAAACTTGCCCTCCTTGAAGTTAAATAATGGGAGTAAATTTAAAATTATTTAATCAATGTTTCTTAAAAATTATTAAAATAAAATATACATCCCATGTTCTGAAGTTTTAAAAATTAGTTAAATAATGTAATTATTGAAAGAGTTCAACTTTCTCTAAATTTATTTTTAACTACTTGTAAATACACTATGTATGGTGAAATCAAATATGGATTTTCTAAATTTTTATTTTTTCAATTTAACTTTATAAATATTTTCTGTCAGTGTATATATATTTTTTTTATGCATACAGTATGTTTATATTATTNATGTCATATATAGAAAACAAATATAGGACAACAATGTCGAACCA